CTCCGTCAGGTTCACCGATACAGCCCCCTAGAAAACGGGCGGATGTGGCTACTTTGAGGTCCAGATACCCGAAGATATCTGTAGGTTGCTGAACGAGGTTTGGGGATACAATAATGATACTCTTTGTCGGCTCAACATGATAGCCGAAAGCTTCGCCCTGATCAAGAAGGCGGTCGAGCCACTTCCTAATATTGCACAGCCGTCCCGCACAAGTAGAATCATCCGCGAACCAGTTTTGAATGTGGTGGCTGGGTTCCTGCAGACGCTCAATCAGAGGGTGAAGACTAATGGCATACATAAGCATGCCCTGGGGACATCCTTGAATAATACCTTCCCGGCTGAGAAGGGTGTGGACCTTAAGATGTACAGGACCCTTTCAAGATGATCACAGCCTACCAACGGTAGGCGTTCAATAGAAACCTTGAACATCTTGGCCAGATAAGAGCACCAGGTAGTTCCATAGGGTCGCGGGACGGCTTAGCAAGTTCAATTAAGGTAGAAATCAAAAACTATAGCCCTTTGAGCATCCTTCTGCGATCTGTGCAGGTCTGGAGTAGAACTATACCTCTCGCGGGTTCGAACCCCCCTTGTGCACAACTTTTTTTCTTTTTCTGTACTGGTTTTGACAAGAATAGCGTATAATTGCCTGACAAAGTGTTTTCTCGTGGCCACAGCATCATGCAATTACTTGTTAAGTACTTTCCAATCCACCAAAATAAAATCCATGCCAAATGTGAAGGACATCCATAAAGCAGTATCAATTTTCTTGACAGCAGTACTGTGTGAATTTACCTCAAAATCTAAAAACTGATGGCACTGGACAAAGTACATGAACATGCATGTTTCTGGTTGCTGCAGATGGTCACAACTTTGCAGACATTTTCCATTCCTATCAAGCAATACCTCTGCTTCTTTCAGCGTCCCACAGGATAACAAGGCGTTGCACGCATGTAGTACGAAAATACTCATATTTTTCATTATGTTTCATGAATGAACGCGTTACCGTGAAGTCTTTTTCATGGTAACACTAACACATCATCATCGTTTGTCTTTTCCCTGTCCCTACACCTCAGAGGAATTGATTTGGCAAGCTTTGACAACAAAATCGGGCCATTTTTATAATTTTCGTGGTCTATCTTATACATTACGAACTTAGAACCTAATTCCATCTACATTGTACATGTCCATGTAGCTGGAACAATCAACTTCATACACACATGTACATGTACATGTACCTTATACATTGTCTCATGAAAGAGCCAATTTGCGAATTGGGGCCATCTCTGAATTCATGTTATGTTATGTTATTATTCATGTCTGCGGCATTCATACTTTTCATAGCTATTATTAAACTTTTATCTCCTCGTAGATTATTTGTATATGTTATTATTCTATTTATTTATTAAATTTGTACTAGGGCATTCCCACAGGCCTAACTTGCCGCCTAAGGCCTTCTTACGGGGTGCCCTGTTCTTGGTATTGGTGGAAATCCTGCAAAACCTCCCGCAGGACACTTGCTTATGTTACCCCCATGCAATGTACCCAGTCAAAGTACTTCTTATCGCCAGACTGACCAAACAACATCATAATAATGTGTTACTGTCCAGATGCGTAAAGTTCGAAAAAATGGCATACATGTGCATGTACATGTGACGTTATGTACAGTGCTGGCAACTGAAATCCGACCCCTGAGCGGTGCGCTCACATCACAAAGACCCAACACGGGATGGTGAAACTACCAAACAGAGGCCACTACTAAGTGAACCCACCGCTCTGGAGGTCGGATTTCAGTTGACCGCAGTGTATTTGGAAGTCCCATAATACCCCAATATCAACGGTAAGTGGCAAATTGTTTTGGTATTTCATCTAAATTGTACATGTACATGTATACATACCCGACAGAAGACATTGACGTCTTTGGATGAAGAAGTTGTGGGCCAATGTTTTCGATGTATCACTTCCAAGCAAGAACGGTCTCCACTGCTCAGAGTTGGTTCCACTGGAACCGGCACTGCCAGAGAGTCGACGGGCAACCTGCTCAATCATTGCACAGGAAAGGACATCTTGACACTCCTCCCAAGACGGATGGATATGTGGGAGAATGGTCACCTCTCTGAACTATTGCGTGAGGCTCAACGGTGTGATACTCAGCTGCTGACCAGCATGTGTCCTATGTCGCCAGAGCAAATACTTCTGAGCGGATCTTCAACCGTCTTATGCTCGAAGGCAGGGTCAGATCCGCGGTGCATCTACATCTACATGTAATCACAGATCGATGTGGGGGAGGTGTGCTGGACTCCAGAGGTGACGCTTACTTGACGTACTGCTCCACGAAGTGAATCATGTCAATTTAAAAAACATACAATAGATAAGATAACCTCCTTACAAGGACATTAGATTCTTGTTTGTTATTAGCTGAAGGTCGTCCGAGCTGTTCAATCAACACCTTATGTCCGCACATACATGTAAGTTAGGTAGCAATGGGTGTCATTGATAACAGGCGAAGAAGAAGGCACCCAGGGTATGGATCAAAGCAGGAGCTCGGCAGGTGTTTGTAGTGAAGACACATTCCCATCCACTGCATAACTCGTGGAGCACATCCACTGCATAAACTCATTGAGCACATCCGCTGCACTGGTGCACTGGCTGATCCAGTAGATACGAGAGACGCACCTGCAGCTCACACCTACATAATCCATCATTGTATGTGCTATTTATTACCCAGGGCTCTCAAGTATCAATCATTCAATGAATATTGTCATGTAGTAAATTGCTGTTTGCCAAGGCGCACTTTGAACTAAATAATACTGTATTCACTCATGAACAATGATAAAGAGCACCGTCTCCAACTCTACCCCCAGTGGCCACACTCGATGTCGAGGGGCACGTGCGGTGCAGGGGATCCTCGAGGTCACATGTACTTGTACTTACATGTCATTGACGTATCAGACCATCCAGGCCAGGGTTCCCGCTTGTGGAATGATGTGAATGTGAATGTGTCTCACATCATTGAATGGTGAGATTGCCATGTGGGGTTACTCAGCGATCTACATGTAGGTGGGTGATTGACAAGAGTGTCAGGAATTCACCCTTGAGCTCGGTCAGATCTTTACTGTCCGTTATTTTTTAATGTTTTATTTCACCTTCCCGTGGCCAGGGAATATAGGCCAATATGGAGGGGAAGGGGGGGGGGGGTGGGACGCGATAGCCATGGCGGTAAGCAATGACAATGCAAAAACATAATTACAAACAATCACAGGAGGCGATAACCTACACAGGGCGAGGCAAAGTTTCATAGACACATAATTGCGTGTGGAGTATTAGAGGCCATCCCTCGTTGTGCGTGTACGCGCAGTTCGTTTTTTTACATGGGCAGAATTCCACGGGGGTTTTTTTCAGTGTAGCTTGAGCCTCTTGGCATGCCGGCAGTCTCGTACGGCCAAAATAACACATTTGCGAAGCACCAACACAATTTAACTGTAACGAATGAAATACACTGTAGTAATGAGTATACAGTCATGTACATGTACATGTGCCAAGACTGCCTGCATTGAAAACTGAATTCCGCCTGTTTTACGTGGAATTTCTTGGAGTTTCCCAATGTATTGTACTTGAATAAAATTCTATTTTAACTTTCAGGGTATCTCAATTTTTTCACGTCTACATGACTTTATTTTGCCCGTAAAAGAGGACATTACCCCGTAAAAAAAAGACTGCCTGAATAGATCCAGTATAATTATGTACATGTACATGTACTGGATCTAAAATGGACAGGTACATGATCATCGTACATACTCCTAGTCTACATGTGATTGTACAAGGTTCCTGCAGACAGTAGATTCGGTAGAGAAAAGATGAGAGAGAGAGAGAGAGGCACACTCCTTTCGCTTTTGCGAGTGTACGCACAGTACTTCTACAGTTCTGCCATGCAGTTCTTGTTGAAAAGCCTCTTGTAAGGGCAAAACCAAAAAATAGTTATTATGATTACATGTATGTAGCTAGCAAACACAGTACTGTGCAGGAACTACATGTATAATTACACTGATAAAATATCTTGCCCAGGGTCCAGGGAGTCATACGATCGACTCCCAGGATCCCTGATCTTGACAAGCATCACGGTAGGAGCACGTGATCCAGAGACTCATTCTAGTTTCCGTCCCAAACTACCCCAAAGGGCCAAACTCAGCAACAGGCAGATTGAATTAAAAGAGTAGGCAAGGCGGGATGCTGAGTCTGATCTGAGTGGTCCTTGAGTGGCTTGACTCGGGCGACCCACCCACTAGACTGCCGACGACGACACTGCACTTCACGTGCAGCGAACGCAGCGAAGAAGCGGCAACTTCTTGTTGTGTTTATTTTAATCTAGAATTCGCTATTCAAACGGGCAAGCATAGGGTATGCCCAATTAGAGGAATGCGAAACTTCACTTGCAGTCTATCTAGTCAGGCGATAGAGCCGGAGAGGTGAACAAAACTCAAAAGCAGTACCACTTTTATCTGAAAAGCATGATTGTACCGTAGTCGAGATCGAGAATGCAACAACCCTGATCGCCACGTTAGTTATAAAAAGGGACACTTCGGAGCAACGCTGTCAATCCGCGTGGAAAGAATCGATCAGAGTCAGCTTCCTTCCTCATGCTTGGGGCGTCTTTCCGGCCGGTTGAAAGCCTCGCAGTACTGGATCGCTAAACAGCGGGCTTCACTTTGACTACTTCACGAAAACCATTACCCCTGAACAGGTTTTAGGTTTGATTGTTCAGAGAGGAAAAGGTTGCTTGTCTGAAATTCTTGCACAAAGAAGTTAGGAGAAGGCGGCTTCAAGGTCTTGGTGGGTGCTCGTGGAAAGCGGCGCGATGTCGGATCAAATATGCCTAGACGAAGGAACCCTCCACTCACGCAGCGCCAGCAGCGAAGGAGACTCAGTAATCTCCACGCCACCCGCGGAGCACGAGGAAAGCGATGGAAACAGTGGTGGTGGTAGTACAGCTACTACTATACTGCGCCCGATGACAATGGCGATGTACGCGTTACGATGGTTACGGTCCCAGAAGGCAATCGCACTTCGCTTTCACGGCCCGATCGTAGCCTGGACTTCACACCTCCTGGAGTCGACCTCTCCAACATGCGAACTCTACCTGCGTACATTGAAATGCAGTCACGATCACTGAGCTCGTCCTTTGGCAGCGGGCAAGCGCAGGATGCCACAGCAATCGACCTGCCAAGACGGGAGAGTCAGTTTTCACGTATGACGGTAGTTTCTGAACTGATTCACGGCATCCATGATGAGCAACATCAGGGCTTTGCCAGCAGTGCATCGTCATCCATTCTCTCTCGCCTTGCACGGACCGGCGGGGCAGACAGCAAGAGCGCATCGAGCAAGACAAAGCGAGAGTCGTCCGGAATTTCCATTCTCGCTCCGAAGAAGAAGGGACGAACTGCCGGCAGGGTGGCAGATGGTGGCTTTGAAGGACCGTTTGACGAGGCATTCTGGGAGAAGGTATGTTTGTTCAACTAAAATTAGGTCTTTCTCCAAATAAGACACGCAGTGAGCTCTTGTTCCGGAATCGCAAGTTTCCAACGATCAATCACCGCGTTTGGCGTGTACTCACCCAAGCGGCCAGACAAAACGGGACTCTCCTGGATCGGAAAAAAAACTGGCAGCGAAGGATTCTGTTTTATTCTCGCTTTTTCATTGCTGTCCGCGATATGTAGAAAGTGTTTCTTTGCATTTACTTCTAGCTAGACCTTTGTGATATGTTTGATACATGGTTGATGAAGCGGTCGCTGAGCCGAGTCCTTCATCTCTTGAGGCGGTACGCTGCGATGAAGGGAATGTTGATAACAGTACTAGTGCTGCTAGGGAGAATCAAGTTGAATTTGCGATCCCAAAGCTCGGTTTTTGATGCCTTCGGACAACGAGTCCTTTGAAAAACGGACGGTCAACAAGTTGAAGACTTACCTGGGAGCTAGAGGAGCCGGAGTGTTCAGGAAACGGGGTGATTTGCTCGATCGGTAAGTACCACTTCAGGATGCAGTCTCCAACATTTCCCACAAGAAAAAGTACATTTTTGTCGGTACATGTTTTTACATTCTAACGTTCTCCATCTGTTCAGGGCCAGGTCCTATCACATCGATCAGATACTGTGCACCCCAGATACATACATGTGTATATGGCGGCAGGTATCGGCAAGGAAAGCCAAACACACATTTACGAATTTGGATGTCAATACTTTTTTGGGCACATTTTTGCACCTAAATTGAAATATACTTGGTGTCCTAGGTTTTCGGAACTCTATCAGAATCCAGCCTCCATAGTGAATGTACTGTACATAAATGGTGTCATAGTGTGCAAGATACTCTAGGGCTCTGTGTCAGAACTGAACTCTGCCATCACTTAGCACCCTGGGGTTTATTCCCATCTTCAAAACAACACACTCATCCACTCACCCTAAACCTGTGGTCTGTTGACACTCCTTGCTGTGCTGTGCATGGTTACGTGATATTTGCAGTATGGCTTACATGTAGCTCTGTCAATCACTTGAGACTCTTTCAATACCTCAGCCCTACCACCCATGCACTTGAGACCGTTGTTTTTGCCTAGGAATCCATGTAAACCTGTATCCAACGGGATTGGGAAGTTTGTTCTGCTGTGGTAGGATTGTCTCACATTCAAGCACCAACCCTACGTGCAGAAACCGCTTGATGATTAACACAATTGAGTTCACTGCAAACTAAATTAAAATTATTCCACTAAAATTCAATTTACTGCATTCCCAACTCGTCACAACCATGTGCTCTCAGCTGAGCCACGAAGCATAACGACACCAGCACAGCAAGGACACTTCCACTAACCTTCAGCGGGGCATACAATCGTGATGTGTTTTACAAACATTTGCAAGCACATCCAGGTATTCCATGGTTGGCTGTCATTGTATTAGGGAATTCCATGGTTGGCTGTCACCTGTCTTGACTATGTCATACGCTTGAGACTCTTTCAATAGCTCAGCTCTACCACCCGTGCACTTGAGACCATTGTTTTTGCCTAGCTCTGCCATGCATACACTTGAGAACCTTGCCACACCCCAGCTCTACCACACATAAACCCTTGGCCTTGCAATAGGCCAGCTCTGCCACACATAGACCCTTGGCCTCAGTTGCAATAGCCCAGCTGTGCCACCCATAGACCCTTGGCCTTGTGATAGCCCAGCTCTACCACACGTGTACTTGTACTTGCTCACTGCCAAAACGGGTCACGTGGGTCTCCCCGGGAGAGGGGAGAGAGACTCAAAAGGAATCTTGGAAAGATGACTCAATTGGCCATTGAACCAACCAACGGCCGACACCCCCTGAAATCCCCAAACTAGGGTGGACTTGAAATGATTCCACTTAAGTTATGGGCTCACCACACCTCAGTAAATGGGTGAGGACAAGGTGCAGAAAAAGGATTGACGGCATCAGGGTATCCGTCCCGGGATCCAACTGCAGGTACCCCTGCCCCCAGTGAAGGTAATACTTGCTACTAGTGTGGGTGGCTAAATCAGAATGGATCTGATAAAAGCTTCACTAGCACCATTGATTACACAAGAGTTTATCTAGCCAGAAGTATTCCATGGTTAACAGGTATTTATACTTCAAATAGAAAGTATATGAACCCTGAAACCAACAAAGGTGGTAGGTACAACAATACACCTTCAAGCAGCCGAGCCCGTTGGCAGCAGGCCCAACACTATCTGGCATAAGTGTACCCACCAACCAAACTAGCTGGCACCATAGACCCTTGGCCTCAGTTGCAATAGCCCAGCTGTGCCACCCATAAGCCCTTGGCCTTGTGATAGCCCTGCTCTACCACACATATACTCTTGGCCTTACAGCTCTGCCACTCATACACTGGCATTCTTGAGAATTGTTTTCCTGTGCCAGTACTTGATTAGATTAACATCTTCAGGTGTCCATTGTCTAATTACCAGATGCCCTCCCTCCCCCCCCCCCCCCCAAGTCTTGAAAACCTGAACTTGCATCTGGTTCATGGACAGCTAGGCCATTGCATGGGTAGAGTACAGACATTCTCTTGAGTGCTAAGCTGGGAACAAAGTTGCTATCATAGCTGCAAGAGGGAACTGTACTGGGCGGCCACAATGGAGTTCACTGCAAAATAAAATAAAATTATTCCACTAAAATTCAATTTACTGCATTCCCAACTCGTCACAGTCCTGTGCTCTCAGCCGAGCCACAAAGCATAAAGACACCAGCACAGCAAGGACACTTCCACTAACCTTCAGCGGGGCATACAATCCTGGTGTGTTTTATAAACGTTTGCAAACACATCCAGGTATTCCATGGTTGGCTGTCACAAGTCCATGTGATGAATTTTACAAACACTGCAAATACCGTAAAGTCGTGGATAAAAGCCGGGTTTGCATACAAGCACATCGCGGATAGAAGCCTGAAAATCAAACGGGTCAAATGCAGAAAAACCTGTCGCGCGTAGAAGTCTAGCAATGCCTCCCTTCGCTGGTTCTGCAGCTACTTAAGCGATCGAACCCAGCAAGTGCGCATTGGCACCGCCTACAGTGTTGCTGCTAAGTGCTCATCTGGTGTACCTCAGGGCTCGGTCCTAGGACCGATCCTGTTTAGCATGTACACCCGTGATGTCCCTGCCATAGCCCATCCTGCTCCATCTCTGCAATTTGCCGATGACATTGCCGTGCACTGCCACAGAAAATCAGTGCTAGCCACATCAGCCTGCCTGTCAGGGGCCGTCACCAACGTCGCTGACTGGCTCAAGCATCGACATCTGCTTCTAAATGACAAGAAGAGCCAGGTCCTGTCAATTGTACCACAACGCAATGCGGGTCAGCATGTCGTTGTCCGCTGCAACCAGACAGAGCTTCCCCTGAGCCCAACAGCAAGGTACCTCGGCGTGACCCTTGACGTCGCTGTGAAGTGGGACCCCCATGTTGACGCGATGGCGAAGAAAGTTGTGCAGAAGATTGAAGCATTGACTATGTCATACGCTTGAGACTCTTTCAATAGCTCAGCTCTACCACCCGTGCACTTGAGACCATTGTTTTTGCCTAGCTCTGCCATGCATACACTTGAGAACCTTGCCACACCCCAGCTCTACCACACATAAACCCTTGGCCTTGCAATAGGCCAGCTCTGCCACACATAGACCCTTGGCCTCAGTTGCAATAGCCCAGCTGTGCCACCCATAGACCCTTGGCCTTGTGATAGCCCAGCTCTACCACACGTGTACTTGTACTTGCTCACTGCCAAAACGGGTCACGTGGGTCTCCCCGGGAGAGGGGAGAGAGACTCAAAAGGAATCTTGGAAAGATGACTCAATTGGCCATTGAACCAACCAACGGCCGACACCCCCTGAAATCCCCAAACTAGGGTGGACTTGAAATGATTCCACTTAAGTTATGGGCTCACCACACCTCAGTAAATGGGTGAGGACAAGGTGCAGAAAAAGGATTGACGGCATCAGGGTATCCGTCCCGGGATCCAACTGCAGGTACCCCTGCCCCCAGTGAAGGTAATACTTGCTACTAGTGTGGGTGGCTAAATCAGAATGGATCTGATAAAAGCTTCACTAGCACCATTGATTACACAAGAGTTTATCTAGCCAGAAGTATTCCATGGTTAACAGGTATTTATACTTCAAATAGAAAGTATATGAACCCTGAAACCAACAAAGGTGGTAGGTACAACAATACACCTTCAAGCAGCCGAGCCCGTTGGCAGCAGGCCCAACACTATCTGGCATAAGTGTACCCACCAACCAAACTAGCTGGCACCATAGACCCTTGGCCTCAGTTGCAATAGCCCAGCTGTGCCACCCATAAGCCCTTGGCCTTGTGATAGCCCTGCTCTACCACACATATACTCTTGGCCTTACAGCTCTGCCACTCATACACTGGCATTCTTGAGAATTGTTTTCCTGTGCCAGTACTTGATTAGATTAACATCTTCAGGTGTCCATTGTCTAATTACCAGATGCCCTCCCTCCCCCCCCCCCCCCCAAGTCTTGAAAACCTGAACTTGCATCTGGTTCATGGACAGCTAGGCCATTGCATGGGTAGAGTACAGACATTCTCTTGAGTGCTAAGCTGGGAACAAAGTTGCTATCATAGCTGCAAGAGGGAACTGTACTGGGCGGCCACAATGGAGTTCACTGCAAAATAAAATAAAATTATTCCACTAAAATTCAATTTACTGCATTCCCAACTCGTCACAGTCCTGTGCTCTCAGCCGAGCCACAAAGCATAAAGACACCAGCACAGCAAGGACACTTCCACTAACCTTCAGCGGGGCATACAATCCTGGTGTGTTTTATAAACGTTTGCAAACACATCCAGGTATTCCATGGTTGGCTGTCACAAGTCCATGTGATGAATTTTACAAACACTGCAAATACCGTAAAGTCGTGGATAAAAGCCGGGTTTGCATACAAGCACATCGCGGATAGAAGCCTGAAAATCAAACGGGTCAAATGCAGAAAAACCTGTCGCGCGTAGAAGTCTAGCAATGCCTCCCTTCGCTGGTTCTGCAGCTACTTAAGCGATCGAACCCAGCAAGTGCGCATTGGCACCGCCTACAGTGTTGCTGCTAAGTGCTCATCTGGTGTACCTCAGGGCTCGGTCCTAGGACCGATCCTGTTTAGCATGTACACCCGTGATGTCCCTGCCATAGCCCATCCTGCTCCATCTCTGCAATTTGCCGATGACATTGCCGTGCACTGCCACAGAAAATCAGTGCTAGCCACATCAGCCTGCCTGTCAGGGGCCGTCACCAACGTCGCTGACTGGCTCAAGCATCGACATCTGCTTCTAAATGACAAGAAGAGCCAGGTCCTGTCAATTGTACCACAACGCAATGCGGGTCAGCATGTCGTTGTCCGCTGCAACCAGACAGAGCTTCCCCTGAGCCCAACAGCAAGGTACCTCGGCGTGACCCTTGACGTCGCTGTGAAGTGGGACCCCCATGTTGACGCGATGGCGAAGAAAGTTGTGCAGAAGATTGAAGCATTCTGGCGGTCCCGCAGATGTCTGAGCCTCAGTAGTCGCATCCAGTATGTGAGATCAGTCATCATGCCTGACCTCCTATATGGGTCTAACGCCTTCTCTTCCTCCCTCAAGGTTTCGCAGCTTGATCGCCTTCAGGTCCTGCAGAACCGAGCGGCGAGAGCGGTATACGGTTTGCCGCCTCACACCTCGGCTCAGCCTCTGCTCGAACGGATGTCCCTGCACAGAGTTCGCGAGTGCTACGCCCAGAAGCGGCTCGTCCTGGTGTGGCGCTGTGTCAATGGGAAAGCCAGCAGTGTCCTCCAGGACCTATTCTCACCATCAGCTGGCAGCACCACCCGGCGCCAGGTTTCCAGGGGCCTCACTGTCCCCTCGGCACAGTCAGAAGCCGGCAGATCTCGCCTGGCCTTTCAGGCAGCCTTGGCCTGGAACGCTCTCCCAAGGAGTGTAAGGGAGATCAAGGCTGCCCAGCAATTTAAGCTTGCCTCCATCCCTACACCTTGCAATGAATGCTCTGTCTGACTTTTCCCGTCCACACACCACGTCATTTACTCTTCTCTGCGTGCTTGTGCGCTTATGAACTCTTTGTGTTCCCTCTGTTGACGCTTCAAAATCGCTCTATTGACACTGCAAAATCGCTCTGTTGACGCTGCAAAATTGCTTATCATCTCCCTCCCTCCCCCCCCCCTCTCTCTCTCTCTTTCTCTCTCTCTCTCTCTCTCTCTCCCCGTAGCTCTCTCCCTTTTCAAATTCGCTTCCATAGAATTGGGCACCATTGCCCGTTTGGCCTTGCGAAGCAAAATAAAAATCAACAACAACAACAACAGCTTCTATGCAAGCGCGGATCGGGTAGGTCAAGAGTGCATGCGCTATGTACAGTGCATAGTAAAACTGCCATCATACCGGTAGTCAGTGGTAGATCTACGCGTGTCGCGCGTAGAAGTCTGGCAAAAATATCAGTGGTGCATATAAGCATGGTTTGCATTAAAGCCTGATGCAGAAAGCGGCTTATGTACTTATAAGCCCGGCTTTTATCCGTGACTTTATGGTAAGTTAAATAAGGCTATTTAATGGTTGACTGTCGGTTCTCTTGATACTGACCATCCATGTGATGTGTTCTCCGGTGTTTATGCCCTTGATCACGTGCCCAGGTAGAGGAGAAGAAATCGTTGGAAGGTTTGATCAAGAAAATTGCCATCCGCGAAGCCAGACTTGATCGCATCATCGAGCAGAGTGGGTCAGCAGAGGCTGCAGTCACAGCTATTCTGGACAAGTCTAACTCTCAAGGAGAGGTAGGATGTTCAAGAAGTTTTGCACAATAAATGCCATTATTACTGTGCTACTATTGCCATGATCCTTGAAGGGTGGTGGCGTTCGTACGGATGCTGGTAACTCGGCCTCTAGCCGAGTCTTACGCGAACTGTGAATTCTTTATTATATTTACTTACAGTGTCAATGCATATTGTACACGATCTGTCACTTTCTATTTTATTTTTTATTTTATTTTTTATCAAAGACATAGGACGTTCAAGAAGTGTATTGCACTCTATCATCACAACTGAACAGGGTTGCCTACTCCCAAACATCAACTACCACTTCCTGCTGAAGTGGCTGAGACTGTGATCATATTGCACCATTCAGACTCTGCTAAATCTTCTTACTGATGCGCTAATAAGAAGTGAAGAAATTACAGGAGGGTCGGGCATGCAGCTCCTATGCATTTTCCAGGAAATATGGCATATCTTTAAACTAAAAGAGGATCTAGTCTGGTTTCGGCAGATGTTGCTTCAGAAGAGACTTGAAGGCAGCGTGCTTGTTGTATGCTGGCTATTTGAACGATGCCTCTGAATTCCTCCTTTCATCGAGTCTGAGTTCCATCCGTCATTGAGTCTGAGTTCCATCCGTCATTGAATCTGAATTCCCTCTCTCATTCAGTCAATACGTCTGAATTCGCGTCTGCCTTGTGTCTGAATTCGAGTCTGTCAATGTTTGAATTCCCTCTGGTCCTGTCTTTCTGTGTTGGTTGGTCTTGGGCAGGCGCGGCAGCTATTAGACGGGCTGATTGTCCGCGGCATTGATCTCGGTTGTCGCGACGATCCGTATCTGCACATTGCCGCGGAGAAGAATTACGTCTACGTAGCGCGAACGTTGATGGATAACGAGGCAGCGATCGATGCGGCCAGTGAGAAAGGACAGCTACCTGTGATCATTGCACTTCAAGCTGGCCATGATGAGATGGCGTCTGTTATCTTGCGCCGAATGAACAAGAAAAGGTCAGTCAAACACTATACTCTACCTGTGCAGCACAGTGCAGGCAACTGAAATCCGACCACCTGAAATCCGACCACCTGACGATGCCTTCACATTCTAGCGGTGTCTATTGTGTAGTTTTACTGTCATGTGTTGGGTCTTTGCCATGTGAGCGCACCGCTCAGGGGTCGGATTTCTGGGGTCGGATTTCAGAGGTTGGATTTCAGCTGCAAGCACTGTACATACATGTAGGTCTTCAGAGATTCACCTACATGTATGTACATGTGTATGTGTTCCTTTAAAAGAATTCACGGTTTGCTTGGGAGTCAGTTAGACTCAGTTTTCAGCATCAGTAGGAACACCACCACCCTGCTAAGATCTAAGGCGCACATGCAGCTCCTAAAGTGGTGGAAGGTCAGTAGAATAGCATTCCGTAGTGTGATGTCAAAATACATCTACGCGCATTGTCTCATGCATCTCGAAATCTATGTATCTTCGACTGGAAGGCTTCGCTCCCCACACTGCAGCTCAAGCTTTCCTGATGACTTGGCTTGACCCTTGACTCCAGTGAGCTTCATTGTGGGGAGCAACCCCTTTTCTAACAAATCATCGCCGAAGTCGCTACCACTATTTCTTATCTTTAACAGGTAGATTTATTAAAGGATATTTAATCAAAGAAAGAAACGAGCTTGGCTATCTTTGTCGCAGAGTTGACGTTGTTTGTGTCTATTCACTGTCGCTTAGGACGTTCACAATTTCAAGCAGATGATGATACTAATAAGAACAGTTGGCATATCACTCAGAATTGTTACGCATCTGTGAGTGAAAAGGTTCCATTCATATCTTGTTGTTGTCTTAGTCAAAGGTTTCAGGGACTGTGACGCTAATCTTCTTCAGATCCTGTTTTATGCCGTTTATGCAGACAGTGTGATTGGTGTAATTATGTGTGAAAATTGTTTTTTTTGCTCTGATTTCTTGTGGATATAATTTTTTCAGCGTCCGAGAGCTGTTTGATGCACAGAAAGACGACCACTCGTTCCGTTTTCAAAACCTTGTGTCATCAGGGGATATGCCGGTAAGGAAAATGTCACAAATAACCGTAGTTTTACTGGCCGTTTTCGTTGAAAAGCCGCTTTTGTGAGGGCAGTTACACATCAGAAAGGTGCCTGGTTGACGGACCCACCCGGATAAAGGGGCATTGGGGTCTGGGGAGTGGTGCCTGGTAGACGGACTCACCCGGATAAAGGGGCATTGGGATCTGGGGAGTGGTGCCTGGTAGACGGACCCACCCGGATAAAGGGGCATTGGGATCTGGGGAGTGGTGCCTGGTAGACGGACCCACCCCGGATAAAGGGGCATTGGGATCTGGGGAGTGGTGCCTGGTAGACGGACTCACCTGGATATAGGGGCATTGGGATCTGGGGAGTGGTGCCTGGTAGACGGACTCACCCGAATAAAGGGGCATTGGGATCTGGGGAGTGGTGCCTGGTAGACGGACTCACCCGGATAAAAGGGCGTTGGGATCTGGGGGTGCAATGTTATCGCATGAGCTGATTGTTTAGAAAATTGTGGTGTTAGTGGACATTGTCGCGTAACTTGTAGTTCCTTGGTCCTTTTTTTCTTTTCCATAAATTTATCCTTGGCTCTCCATCCGAGTCCATTCTATTATATGCTGAGTCTTGAAATTCAACGGCCAAATGCTGATGCTTACCCCCTGTTTATGTATCTTTTCTGTCTTTACTTGTTTGTCAGCTGACGTGTCGGGCTATTCTGGATGCCTGCGTCCAGCCGACTGACGAGCCAGACGAGTACCGTTTCCATTATCGTATTCTGGAGAGCGATGCAAACGGCTACTCACCCAACGATGCAGGGTTTAACGTGAACGGTAAAACCGCCTTTCACCGAGTTCTGGAGTGCCGAGACAAAGTAAGAAAATATTGAGAAGCGCGGAATTTATTATCATTATTATTTGCTTTTCTCGTCATCGTCAATCAAATGATTGATAATTTCCCTTATACTGAGTGTTGGTAAACAGAAATCAGTTGCTGAGATTTGGGGTAATGGGTTTGTTTCCCTTCTAATATATTTGTGTTTGCGGGAATTTTCCCATTACGATTAGTGTTGTGGTTGGAATTCTCTTTTGTACTAGCCAGCATTTCTGGCTAAGTCATGTTCAGTGTGGCCTCTGCTGTACTGGCAACCAAACGACAGTGCTGATATGAATTGTTTTAGGACTGTTGTGGCTCAATGAGACTGGGGCTGTAATGAAATCCTTATCTTCTGGCGTGGGTTCTGAGCTGAGTGGGAGATGGCATGACATGATAGAGTGGTTTCATTATAATTGTCATGTGACCAAATTTCTGAAGAAAGTGATCACGTCATGTGCACAGTGGAACCAACATGGCCGACATCATGTGACCCATGCGTGCAGGGGTTGAGTGAAGTTGTAACCAACATGGCTGTCGTGTATGGTCATGTGATAGCTGTGAAACCACTCTATTATACATCCAGATACATTTGAACAGCACATAAAGACTAGCCTAGGGCTGGGTATTAAACTGTTTCCCACGGCCTTGCTGCCACTGTCCACTTTCAGGAGATGCAGCTGCACACCGTTGTGCGCATGTTGATCTACAACAAGTGGGTGGAGTATGGAGAGAGAATGGCCATGTAAGTATTCCCTATTATACATTGGTCCCTTTTATAACCCAGCACTATTTGTGCTGAGGAGATTCTGCTGGATTAGGGAGGGTGCTGAATTAATAAATCTGATTTACTGCTGCAGTATGCATGAAGAGGACATGTTGGCTGCTGAAGATAGTGCTGGCTTATGGAGGATGCTGGTTTATAAAGTGCTGGATAAGAGAGGGGTCACTGTATGATACCCACTGTATACAGGTAACTGATCTCTGTAGATATTGTGCCAACACTCGGACACTGGTGCACCATGGTTGGTGTGCTTCGGACAGCGCTCATCCCAATGGGTATCCGAAACCAACACGCGTTCAAGATAGAACAGCGTTCGTTGACTGTTTGATTTATACGACAAATTCATGTTGAACACTTATGAGCGTCCACCAGTTACAATGGCATGACTAGCTGAGTGTAAAGTAACTGTTGGTGATAGTGGACATAGTAGTGTAACTTGCAGCTTCTTGGTCTTCTTTTCTGCTTATACATTTAAATGATATTGTACATCGCTATAATATTCAAGTTCTTTTTGCCTACATTACTTCCTGTTTTGCAGCCTGAACCTGTCGCTCTACTGTCTGTTCATGCTTTGCGTGACGTTTTCACTGATCTCCGCTGGCACACAAGCTGACCCGCGTGTCTACGACAGTGCACTGGACTACGCCAGAGGTGTGCTGGAAGTGATCAGTCTGATCGGGGTCATGTTCAATCTGTACGATGAGATCAAGGAATTACACAGGTAGGCCGTGCTGCGGATGCAAGTGTTTCACTCTCTCTCTCTCTCTCTCTCTCTTATGTCCTTTCCTATTTCTCTTGGCGCACTTTGCCTGTGCAGACGCCAAGACCACCAAGGTCAGCGGAGCAGCAGGGCCCCGCCACCACTTTCCGCATTCACTCGGGAGCATAGTGGACTTGGTAAAAAAAGAAAGAGAAAAAGTTGTTATATTTCTACTACACAGTTTCATAGGATGTATTGTGCATGCTCAGATTGGGTGTTGTTGTTGTTTTACCGAACCAAGAGCCTACATCAACTACATCAGTATCAAGCAGAGTCGAGTCTTGCTCCCGTAGTGTGGACTGTTTGGCTATTTGGAGTTTTGCTTTAAATGAATCCTGCATCTGGATTTACTCTGGAATGTCAGCTTTCCGGATAATCAAGCTTAATAGTAGTGTTTAAACCGAACACGGATTCTTCGAACGAATAATCTATCGAATAATTTCGCCCTCCATCGAACGAATAATCTATATTCTATCATACGTATGATGGCATTTTTCAACACTTTTTCAGCACTTTTTAAGTAGTTTTTTAAATATTTTTTTTGCTGATTATCGGATTTTGTTATGTGGGGGTGCAAAACCGGTTAACCTGTACCGCCAAGAGTACATAACCCCCAGAGTGTGCAACGCTTGATCCAGCTCTGCATAGGGTCTTGGTCGAAAGTGGTCAAAGACCGAAAATCACATTCACTGCATCCATGTTTCCCTCGTATGGAAAGAACAGAAGTACAGTCATGTACATGTAGTGTACATGTACATGTACCGTAAAGTACCGCCAGAGCGCCCCGTCTCGCGAGAGCGCCCCACCTTGATTTTACAGCCAGGGAAAGGAAAATCGTATGGCAGAGTGCAACGAAGTTTGTACGATGTGAGAACCTTAGTGTACTAAGGGCGCGTTCAGACTACCGATAAAAAGTGACCGATAGGGAAAGTCGCCAAGGTGATTTGATCACGTGACGTTACTGGCACGTTACCGGTGGGAAAGTTTTACTGCCGCGGCTGATGCGGCAGTAAACTTTTACCGGCAGTAAAAAAGTGCCCAGGCTGCATGCGCGCTGCGAAAAAAAGGGAAAATCCCTTGTCAGTGCCGGTGAGAGCTGAAAACTTCACGGTCACGTTAGTTTGTTATCGGTAGTGTGAATGTCCTTCACGGTTTATCGGCATTCACGGTTTGACGGGGTTCACGGTAGTCTGAACGCGCCCTTAGGGCACACTTGGCAGGCTTTTGTGTGGAGCTTGTGTCCGCTCGAAGGTACGGATATCCCCGGATTGACTGCAAAATGTGGAATATGTGTACAAGGTCCGTGTCGTATGACCTACAGACAGCAGACCACCTCCACAATACGACCACGAAAGGACGAGATGGTGGGGCGCTCTGGCGGTACTTTACGGTACATGTATTACTAGATACCGATAGGAGATTAAACCTTGGAGGAGAAGTGATTGAGAAGAAATACTACGAGCAGATCTACGCAGTGCAAATATCAGTAGGGTCAGCACTGAGCATAGATCGTTTTTTTTTTTTTTTTTTTTTTTTTTTTTCGATTTCTGATAATTCCTACGACTATTCGATTATTCGTTCACCCCACGAATATTCTAAATTATTCGATTATTCGATTATTCGTTTCAACACTACTTAATAGCTTTCTCTCTCTATATGCGTGTGTGTACATCTGTGTGGGTACGTATATGTGTGCACGTCTGTGTGTATGTCTACGTGTGCGTCTGTGTGTGTGTGTGTGTGTGTGTGTGTGTGTGTGTGTGTGTGTGTGTGTGTGTGTGTGTGTGTGTGTGTGTGTGTGTGTGTGTGTGTGTGTGTGTGTGTATTCTGTACTGACAGGGAGAAAATGGCTTACTTGACAGATGGCTATAACTATCCCCAGGTCATCTCTATGCTACTCTTGGTTGCCATCATTCCACTGCGTTGGACTGATCAAGATGCACAATGGCACGTGGCATGCTTCGCATATATCTTCCTTTGCCTGCGTATTCTCATGCTGATATCCGTCACAAGGTGAGAGCTGTTATTCCACCATTAGATTGTGTGCTCGGCAGGAGCACTGCCACGCTTTGGGATGAAAGCGCAGATGCAGGTCCAAAATGCGGGGAGGGGGTTGGGGGGGGGGGGGGGAGGGGTGGAGTTGACCAACAAAAAGGCATGGGTTTGCGTACAGGGCTGGTTAAGAACCGCCCTTTCGCTTCCGTGGGACACCGGCACCCCATGATCAGGCGTCAGATGTAGCTCCTAAACGGTGGGGAAGGATAGATCAGACCCACCAACCATGTCACTATGTGTCACAGCACAGCTGGAGAGTAGACCAGACCCACCCTAACTGAGAGTGGTGGTGTTACCATTCCATTGATGCTGAAAACTCACTAGGACTGGGTCTCACGCATGTTCTGGTAGTGGTGGGGGTGGGGGATCCACAGCAAGTGTACGAGTACTGCTCCACCTGGTCTGCATGAAAAAATGTTTTAACTTTGTACGGTCATGCTCACACATCTACCAGACCTGGTAGTGCCTGCCAAATATGGGGAAATGCCTTGTAAAGAGGAGACGGCCATATTAGGGCATGGAAGGCAGTGAATAGAATGTGTGTTCTTTGATGTCAATGGCATTTGTTTTCTAGAATTTATGAAGCTGAGAATATTGTGCATCCTAATCTTGTCAGGGGAATTGTATTGTCTGGCTATGGACTAGGTGTGTGTAAACTGAGAGTTGACAATATTGATGTCCTCTTGGTTTGTCTTGCAGAATGGTTGGTATATACCTACAGATACTGACACGTATTCTCTACAAGGACATATCACGTTTTGTGATCATATTCGGGATCTTCCTCTTGACATATTCTGGCTCTTTGTTCCTGGCATTGCGTGCCGAACCCATCATGGAGAGGAACTCCACGTCAGACCCGAAGGAAACCACTGAGCTGAGTCTCGGACACTTCACATCGTAAGTCAATGTCTGTGAATGTGTAAATGTGTATGGGTGTGAGTGGGGGGGGGGGGGCATCTGGGGGCATGGGGGATGGGTGGTGCGGGTGTGTATGGGGGGGGGGGGGGGGGTGGTGCTGTAGTTCACAAGTTTTTTTCGGTGGTTTGCTTTGATAGAAACTCTGATGTAAGCAGACCAGTTTCATATCTGTCCTCTAGTTCTCAAGTGTATCAAGTTGCTAGTGTACTCTCACTATTCTTTGAAGAAATTATTTTGTGCTCTGTATCAATAGTCCTTGGTTGAACAATATGTTTACATGACCTGTAAGTCGAACCGTCACTCAAACATTTCACTATTCTTGAACGTTGCTGACAGGAATTACGGTTTCATTCTTGTGAGTGGACTGCGAACGATGATTCAGCAGGAAAACAATGTGGACTACATCAATGACGACGAGCCGAGTGAATCATTCAGGTAACAATATTGTTGCTGTTGGCTTTGCAGCCGTGAGCACTGCTGGTCCGTTCCCACAGTTTGTGCATGAACTACATTGTGTGTGTATGTGTATGTGTGTGTGTGTGTGTGTGTGTGTGTTCAGTGTGTGGTATGCATGTCCAGGTTTTCCCAAAGCACGCAAACGTGCGCACACTGCCTTGAGCAGTACAGCCGCAGAACACCTGGACGCGCACACAACACACTGAATTGTGGATCATTCTGTCTTTAGTCGCGGTCCCCACTGTTGTTTGATCATACGCTCTTTATTGATTGTTACTGTGTAGCCATGGTTGATTCAAATGGTCGTTAACACACACCTGGTAACCTAGCAAGGCGTGTATCTACAGCCATATTGCCAGGTGTGTATTTACCACCGTTTGAATCAGCCAGAACAACAGTTGCATTGGTGTCTTCAACACTTCACTATGTAGCTGGCGTCACTAGCGCAAGTGTTATTATATTTTTCTTTCTTGCTTTTCCCCTGTGTATGTGCAGCTGGTTGGGTATAGTCATCAACATGCTGTTCCTGTTCTTCGTGCTGGTAGTGCTGTTGAACATCTTGATCGCTCAGCTTAGTGATACGTATGCTGATGTGAAAGCTGATGCACAGCGTGAACTTGAGCAAAACTGGGCGGCGTCGCTCAGGATTCTTGAACAGGGAACGTCACCATTGAAGGTACTGACTCTTTGGCCGCTAGGACGTGTTTACCGCCTGAGAAAGTAATGTGTTCCCGCCATATCATAGACAGAGTTTGAAAGACCATGTTAGTGCCTGACCAGTCAAAACTGCTGCATCAAATATGCATATCACAGCACATACAAATCCAACTGAATGAAAACTTGAAGGCTGCAGGAAATCAAATAACACAAAGACCAGAATGGGAAGAACCACCTCAGAGCACCTGGAATTAGTCCTTCACAAGCACCAGAAAATCACTGAGCTTTGATCCCAGACAACCACTGCCTTGCGGACAACCTCTGAGGATCGCGCTGGGCATACTCTTTGAGTAACATCATTCTTCTGTGCATTCTTCTGCGGGCGGACACCATCAACAGCATGGAAATCATCTATAGAGATCAACATGCTTTATCCCTTTTCCTCTGTGTTCCTCGTCTTCATTGTAGAGATACCGTTTTAGGAACTATGATGACTACGAAGATGTTGTCCACCCTGGACGTGAGTACAATCGCACACATGCACTCTGTGTTCCTAAACTTGTACAGGTCTACCCGCATTAGTAGACAACCCCAGCGGGTTTCAAAAATGTTGTCTTATTATCTACTATCCGGGCTTGTATGTACGCGTTACAGGCGTCCAGGGATTGTGGATTGTTGTCTACTAATGAAGTCTGTCTTGTACACGATGTCCTACTAACGAGGGTAGAACTGTAATATCGTCTTGCCCTTATAGTGCCCTTATAGTGCCCTTCTTGACATCAACACATGACCTCATAGTGCCCTAATAGTGCCCTTCTTGACATCACCACATGACCTCATAGTGCCCTTATAGTGCCCTTCTTGACATCACCACATGACCTCATAGTGCCCATCATATTATGAGTAACAGATATGCAAGTACTTACACGTTGGGTTCTACTGCATGATGTGCCACAGATCGATTAATCGGCTGGGAAGAACCTAAGGATGCCGTCGAAGATCAAGAGGAGAAACGCCGCAAGCTGCAGATGGAAGCGGATATCGAGAAGCAGAGTCGGCAGATAATGGCGTTAAAGTAAGACAATGACGTCGTGTGTAGCGGTGTTACAGTGACGTCATGTGTAGCGGTGTTACAATGATGTCATGTGTAGCAGTGTTACAGTGACGTCATGTGTAGTGGTGTGACAGTGACGTCATGTGCAGCGGTGTTACAATGATGTCATGTGTAGCGGTGTTATTCTGTTTTTAGAGGAACTCGATCATCGATGATGCTGTGGGTCAAATTTCTTCGTATGCATATTACGACTGTTTACACAGGCTGGTAGCCTGTCTTTTACAGCTGCTCTATGAAGAATTATTATTATACTAAATTAAGAACTCAGATGGTGAGCCAAGGAAAAAATTGTAACATGGAAATTGTGGGCACAAACCTTCCCCTCTTTGGAATTTGCACTATTATCCATGAACCTTCCAAGTTGGACAGCCGTGGTTAGCGCTTTCGAGCAGTGCTCAAGCTGACTTTCATGCCATGGAATGTCTCAGAACTCCTTGTCAGTGTTGTGCTATATTGTGCTAGATTGTGCAAGTCTGACTGTTCGAAATCAAAATCTGGTTTAGTTGGTGGACTCGATCGCATAACTTGTGCCCAAAATTTCCATGCTACAAAATATACTAAATTTGTACCATTAATTAATGGAAGAAAACAAGCCGCAGCATTCGGCCTTTAGAAATCCCTCATTCTTCCTGTTGGAAGTGTGTGTGTGTGTGGTTGGCCACAGAACACAATGATGGAGGTGGTGTTGAAGTCGATTTACAGTAAAACCTGTAACGAAAGACCACCGTGACTAGCGACCAGCCTGGTACTATAGACCACTCCGCCCGGCTCGGACCGTCTCACATTCATGTATGGTTGTGCGGTGCAAACCTGTAACTAAGGACCACCTGCCACTAAAGACCACTTTCTCTGGTCCCAAGGGTGGGGGTGGTCGCTAGTCACAGGTTTTACTCTAGTACATTGTAGAGTATCGAAAATCCACTGTAAATCTCAAAAATCTGGGTTTGGGATCTGCTTCTTGAATTCTCCATACATTTTGCCATGGTATACCTTTCCTAGTTTGGTAAAACCTGGCTGAATTTCTATATCCCTGTTCTTGGACTTTTCTGTCCTTAAAGGGGAACTGTCACCAAAAATTTTCTTTGTCTCATCTTGTAGTTCTTTGGCTCCTGATCACGATGGTGTTATTCGTTTTTCTCTGCGATGACTGGAAGTGGGTGAAAACTTGAAAAGAAGGTGCCCAAAATTGTCCCGAAGTACCGAGTGACGTCACGCCGGACTTGACCTCCACGCGTACATTCATCGTCAAAAACGAAGTCCAGCCCGTGTGCTGGTCAATCGAGCCAACTGTTCGATGTACGGTGCACGCCTGCCTTCTGAACTCGGACACTCGATGTGTACGTTGTACACAATGAGAACGCCAAAAAGGGACAAAATAAACAAAAAGTTGACAGCAGTTTGTCGCACTGGTACTTCCTCCACGAAGCTCCAGCTCTTTGTTTTATTTGTGATTACGAAACAGTGGAAGGATGTTTGTTTGCTGTTAGTGTGACACACATATCTCGTGCTTGAAAATGATGTCGTTGTATCGAAGCCGAAGGTGGCGGTGTTGCCCACCCGGCTCTGAAATGAAAGACGTCAGAGTTTGTCATCTGCATCTTCAGCAACATCGCCAGATGAATCGCCTTCACGTACCTACATTGCGTTCCTTTGGGGCTCGGGTTGGTGGTGTTATCGCCGGCCGGAGGAGTATTGTTTTCTACATACGCACTCATCATCGTGTTGTTCCTCACACGAAAAGTTCAAAACAACGACGGACTTCCGTGCTCACAAAATAAAACTTAGATCCTCGCGGAAGAAGTCAAAAAGGTGATAGCTCAGCTAGCTCAGCTTTTTATTTTGATTTGGCTGTGTAGCTGCACGTGGGTCTCTAGCTCTGCCTCATGATCTTTGGCATTCTCCTTCGGTACGATGTACCCATCTGTGTTACAGTTCAAAAGGCACACGTGCACCGTACATTGGAACAGCTAGCTCGATCGACCAGCACACGGGCTGGACTTCGTTTTTGACGATGAATGTACGCGTGGAGGTCAAGTCCAGCGTGACGTCACTCGGTACTTCGGGACAATTTTGGGCACCTTCTTTTCAAGTTTTCACCCACTTCCAGCCATCGCAGAGAAAAACGGATAACACCATCGTGATCAGGAGCCAAAGAACTACAAGATAAGACAAAGAAATTTTTTGGTGACAGTTCCCCTTTAAATGTGGCAAGGCGTAATTGCACGGGTCACACAATGCAGGATGTACTGTTGTTTTCAGGATATCTACTTCGAGCAGAACTACGTGCAGGAGACACCACAAAGTCAGGGTGCCACTGCCAGTTTCCAAGGAATAGACTATAGAGGAGTCAGCTGGATCCATCGCCCTTAAGTGTTACTGTTCTTCTTTCTATTCACTTCATCTTTACTTCAGGGCGCAAATGCGAGCCACCCTTGAGCTGCTACACGAGAATAGAAAGGTGCCGCCCAAGCTTCACCACAACATTGCCCATCTCGGTACCGTGCAGGTACCAGAAACCGTGAACAACATCGTCATGAAAACAGAGGCCGTTCTTCGGGATGACGTGATGGAAACACGTAAACAGCAGAACACAATCTTCAACGATCTGTCACAGGCGGCACGCGAACACACGGACACGCTGAAGAAGGCGGTTGACGACCAGAACCGAGACACGCAAACGCTGATGACGACTTCGTTCCAGACAACCTCAACAGAGCTGGACCATCTGAAGCAGACGGTCGGTGTTAAGCTACCCGACACCATACAATCAGTAACAGCAGCCGCGCACACCGAAACCATTGCAGCGCTCAGTGCCAAGCTGAACGAAACCAATGGTCAACTTCAGGCACTGGAGCAGTACATTCAAACCAACCTGCGAGAGAGCATCGACACAGCCATTAAAATCTCGGTGCGCTCGGTCATCGGCGATGTCACAGCCGCAGAGACGATGGTACGCGAACAAGAGAACGAACACAATCGTGAGCTGGGAGAAGCTCTCCACCTCAGCCAGCAGAACATCACTGATACTCTGTGCAAGACCGTCAAGGAGAACTGTAATTGCCTGCAGGTAGACTTGACTCAGCAACTTGAACGGGGCATGACAGCACGTCACCAGGCCCTGGAGCAGCAGCTGAGCGGACAAGTCGACAAGATAATTGCCGAAGTAAACCGCCTTATCGGCGGATCATTCTAGACTCGCATAACGTCAAAATGGACAATGCCTTACTTGCTGTCTTGAGATTTTCCTGAGAGTCCTCACACTGCTTTTGATGAGCTCCAGACTTGATTCTCTTTTCGTTTCCTCATCAACGGATCATTCAACGGATCATTCTCGATGTTCATAATTGCACATGAATACTACTCTAGAGGACATGGAAATTCGGTCGACTGACCGGGGCCAGCGTCCTCAATACGTACAGAACGTTGCATGCAGTGTGCACATGTTGATCGCATGCGTAGTTATGGCTGCATGGCCAGCGCCCAGGGCATCATGTACTCAAGCAAGATTTGCGTTCGATGTTCGAAAACCTGATGTCCCAATGCACTGACACGTGGAGCTTGCCTCGAAGAAGCACCTTGCTGTTGTCTCGAAATGTCGAATTTGTTCTCAAATGAACAAGGCGAAGCTCGACGGCAGGTCCTACATGACTGATTGTGTAGTCATTCTCCAATGTAGAAGTGCGGGCTGGAAGATATGCTGACAGTGTCGTCGCATCGTTGACATTGCATTCCTCGCCTGCAGTACAGCGCGAGCAGCAGCTGATTTCAGGAGCTGCACTTTGATCTACGCTGAGAAGTTTCTCAGCAAATCGACAGTCTCTCTATCACCAGGGTTAGTTCATTTGCCAATGTACATGTACATGACATTGTACAATTAGAGTAGGCAGCCGACCAAGCTGGCAAGTCTTTTACGGGGGTAATTATTATGAACTTATGGCAGTATGCAGAGGGGATGTGAGACAGGAAAACAGAAGGGAAACCAAAATAATCAGGGAACAATATTCACATTGAAGCGAAAAGCTCAAATGCTGCAAATATGCAAAATTTCTGCAGCCATGGAATTTCGGCTATATTCGGTAGCACCTACCCATAACACCAAAATCAAAACGCTGATGATTTTTTCATCGAGATTTCTGTTCGACCGCTGTTGCCATAATAATAGCTTTTATTTTGCGTGGTACGACCATTTTTGGCACGATATATGCACTGTGAAATGAGAACGTACTATGCTATATTTGGACAAAAACGGACCCTTTGTCACAGCGATAAATCAGCCCCCATAACGGTTTTACGCTGCAGCTTCAAAGCTATGGGTAATCAAGGTACGAGTACCGTGAAAGATAGGATTACCGCTGTTTGCTAAAGGTGTCTAGTCTACATGAACTCGTACCTAGCATGCTACAGCAGTACCTATCAACAGTGACCTTTTACTTGAACAAAATACTTATGACCAGATACTACAGTATGTCTTAGGTATTCCTAATATGGAAAAAAGGTTCTGCCCCTTTTGCGCACTGTAGTAAAGTAGAGTCGCACGCTGAAGAACGTGGAGCCGAAGAACGTCCAGCCTGAAATTCTAAGAACGCCACAGCCTAAAGCTAAGAACGGCGTGTTGGTTTTCTGGCAGCTTTTCATTTATTTTTTACTAGAGCCACGTAAACCAATCATGTGTGAGCCATGAATAAGGGGAGTGGTGGCGTGGTCTGGGATGCTCTGCCGACCTTGGGTCTCGGCTTCATCACAACCATGTGCGCCAATAGCAGAGAGAGAAAGAGAGGGAGAGAGAGAGAGAGAGAGACATAGAGAGAGAGAGAGAGAGAGAGAGAGAGACATAGAGAGAGAGAGAGAGAGAGAGAGAGAGAGAGAGAGAGAGAGAGAGAGAGAGAGAGAGAGAGAGAGAGAGAGAGAGAGAGAGAGAGGAGAGAGAGAGAGAGAGAGGAGAGAGAGAGAGAGAGAGAGAGAGAGAGAGAGAGAGAGAGAGAGCGGGGAGGGTGTTACGGGATACATATGATCCAGGACGGATTGTTTCTAAGAACGTGCTATAAGAACGCAGCCAGATTTCTGACAACATAAGAACGTCCCAGGCTAACCCCTTGGAAACAATGTTCTTGGGCGCGCGACTCTACTGTAGGTACGAGTAGAGTATCCTGTGTGAATCCTGTGGCCATAGTCACGCTAGACAGACTAGCCAAAAGTGACTTGTGAAGAATGCAACAATTGGTCACATCCACGATCCAGGCTTGATGCGCAGTGACATTTTTTGTCCAGTTTTGTGTCATGTCGCACTAGCCGACTGTAAATGATCTGGTTACATTGGTGGACAGTTAGTTATAACTAGTAACACTTGCTGTCCTTTCGTGTATCCATGATTTTTTAAGTGCTTTTCTTCGGGCATTTGAGAAAAAATAAAACTCTATGCATTGTTCTCTGTACAGGTTCTCCCTCGTTAGTAGATAATCTCAAAAAGGTTATCTTATACTGAGACTAAACTTGTAACATGACTTTCAAGTAAAGATACAAGAAGCACTGATTCGTATTTATAATTACCGTAAAATCCCGCCAGAGCGCCCCTACCTCCTCGACGCTTCAGGTGGGGAGGGGCGGATGGGCGAGTCCTACTTGCCACATTCAGTGCTACATGAAAAAGTACTCACCCTGCGAAAACTGTTCGTGCATCTCGTACACCGACCAAAGGTCAAGAGCCAGGAGTCGTACAGACCCGACAAAACGCAGGGTTTGTGCGATCCCTGGTCAAGAGGGTGGGCACTGTTGCGTACATTTCCAACGGGGTTGAGCACGCGTCTGCAGTACAGTACGGCATCACAGACTGCGACAGAGTCATACAAGGATACAATCAATCACGTCCCTGACAAGAAGTCAGGGAGGGGCGGATGGGAGAGACGGGGCGCTCTGGCAGGATTTTACGGTATGGGTACCCTTAATACAAGATAAATTATCGACGCTTCAACTCGTTATAAGATAATTGAAAATCTCCAACATAGCTGTTCCTTGGTTGCAAAAGAGCGTCCATATCTACGAATACATAGATAGAACATGTTGTGTCTTTCTGCTTTATCCTATGTGTTTTGGCCTTGTCCCTGCATGGTGAGTATTTTCTTTTATCACTCTCTTGTTATTGACCCCCACAAAAAGTTGTGATCTCTAAGCGGTCAAATATGAGCATGTATTGACCGCTCAGGAATCATTTTTGACTCCTTATATTAGCAATGAAAAGTATGAATGCCGCAGACATCACCACGCAACATTACAATTTGTTCAAGGTTTGGTTTTGTGTGTTTCCAAAATCGATTTTCACGTTCCGATCATCAGTGGAAATACGGAACTAAAGAGATCAAGGGAAAAACAAAGGTTAAAAATCCAAAGAAGTGTGACACATGACGGGTAACTTGTGGTAAGTTTTACAAAAAGTGAGAACTAAAATAAAGAGTAAGTGTGACAAACGGGCATGAACAGTGCAGAAACAACTCATGAACACGGGGTGCAAACATATATTGCCTCCTTTTTAGGAATCAAGAAGTTACATGCAAGACTCGCACAGGCACAAAAGCAACAGCACAAAAGCAACAGCACAAAAATCTGTATTGTGACAGTAAGCAGAAAGCACACAACAAAACACAGAATAGGAAGAGATTCTGGCCAGCCATACGAAAACGTCAAAAAGCTAGCAAAAGGTAAAAAATCAGTTCTTTGGCTTCTTGTTCAATTTCAGCGAGAAAGGAAAAGTACGCTTCCGTGTATGCAACCAAGAGTACATAACTCCCAAGAGTGTGCAACTCCAGCAATGGGGTCTGCGACGGCAGAACTTCACATCACGTGATGAACCCGTACACATTATTTGCACTCTGTGCATGATTGATACAGGGTTGTACGCAGCCCAGCTTTGGGTACAACTCTCTTGTGGTCACTTTGCACTGTTTGCCAGTGTAATCTTTTGAACCATGTCACGTACATGTAATGTGAAGTTCTGCCGTCGCAGCACTGCATAGAGGTTGTGCAGGCAGTTGCACACTCTTGGGGCTCATGTACTCTTGATGCAACCGATAATTGTGGTTGTTGACTACATTGAAAGTGATATAGGTGCTATCTTTCAAAACAAGACCCATTTTCACATCAGCAAAAGAGGAAGAATCAGACGGGGCAGAATCAGATGGAGCAGAATCAGATGGAGCAGAATCAGATGGAGCAGAATCAGACGGAGCAGAATCAGCGGAATCAGCAGATACAACAGAACCAGACACAGCAGAATGAGAAGGAGTACTTTGAGCAGATTTACAAACACCCTTACCGTCGATCGCCTTGCTCATCTGAACCGCTTCAGAGTGGTGAATCCGGTCGTAAGACTGCAGACTCGCGACGTTCTTATGTCCAGACACTGCGCAGATCTTTCGATCATCCATATATGCTGCCTTCATGCGAAATCTCGTGCTCGCTCTTCCGCAGTGGTTGGTGTACGACTTCGACAGGTTCGCTTCTTCACTGATTTCACCCATTATCTTACCGAGCAGATTGTGGCTCAGTGGCATGTTTATGTACCACACTATTGTCGACTTACTGAACGGCTTGGCCCGCTGAAATAAACGTGGGCAGGACGGGTTCAGATGAGAAATGTACAGCTTGATGACAGCTACCGCAGTTTCAAATGAGGATCCACCCAGACCACCTTGATGGTTCTTACATATAAAATCTTTACACAATATTACGTCCTCACAGCCATCTTCACCGGGTCTGAACATGAGGTCATCCTTCTGCAACTGCGCTTGAATTTCGCGACCTCGCAGACAGAAGTGGGACGAGATTGTGAACCAGGCGAATCTGCACAGTCTGACAGGATCGTCCTAAGCTTTAACGTTACCAAAAGATGCAGAGACCTTGTCCCAGTCTTGGTCGCTCAACGGATCCTTGTGAAGCACATTCACGTCTTTCCTCTCAACTTTGGTTCTCTTCAGAACAGCCTTCAGGACAGCATTTGCACGAGTGAATTCCTTGTCGGTGTAAATATTCAATGTTCTGCCAAGTTCAGAAACATACCGTTATAGAGGTGCTCGACAAGCGATGTACATGTAGCTATTCCTTTTGTACAGAGTGCCGTCTCGTTTCTTCAAAACTGCATCAAACTTCTCCAGTTCAGTTGCCAAATCGGTTGAGGGACAGGCCTTGATATCAATTGACGAAAACTCCGTGAACGATTTCACCCACGTTGCAGTTGCCACTTTAGTAACCTTTGGAACAGCATCTTCCAAGATTTTGTCTCTCTCTGCTTCACTTGAATCACCAAAACGAGATGCCATGATCAAAACGGTAACGTGAGGAACTGAAAGAAAAGGCTGAGAATGGAGCATGCGCCGGATTTGGAGCATGCATGCATGTTCAAACATGGATGGTTCACACCACACTTGGAGTCACGCACATCCATACACTAGTAGATATTTTAGGACTCTCGTACTTCTCAACATCCATGGCCCATCGATTGCAGGAGCAAAAGGTACAATCATGTACAGGTAGTTGTTATTTTTCAAAACACAAAAAAAATTGAAAGCCCATCGATCGACTTTACAAAGAAGTCGAAAGGACAGTCGGCATAAAGCTGAACAAGGACGTACTAACGAATTATGTTGTAACCGGACCTCTACACAGTTTGATAGAGCACGTTTCGCCAGTTGATTTCAGCTTTCTATTTACTAATGGGGTTTATGTAGTAACTAGACTCATTATGATGAGGGAGGACGCAGGCGCATGCTCGGCGATGGGCACGGGGGGCACGTGCACCCCCCAAAAATTTTCAATCTGGGTAATTGCAATTGTAATGTATGCAAATATGCTCTAAAATTCAAGAAAGGTTGCAAACAAATTGCAGAAAATTGCCGGGGGAGGCTCCCCTCGGCTCCCGTGCACCCCCCTAGTTGGGGGGGGCCGAGCACGCCCCTGGGACGTGTATTTCTATTGTATATTTTGTGTGATTGTGCTCTCCCTCAGTACATGAGAGTCTACTTCTAGCTACAAATCGCTGCTATCACGATGACCAGTCCGCCAACGAATCCCGATTTTCCGTTCAGAGAGGAATTCGCGGTGGCTAAGCTGAAACCAGCCCTGGCAAACGCCGCCTGGCTTGTTACTTCACCCGTGAGTGGACTTATGTACAATTGTTTTGTTGTGTTATGTTATCTTTTTAAAATGTAAAAACAAACAGAGTCTATGGTGTGACTATCAAAAAGCCAAGGAACTGCGGCACCGCGGTTCTGGTGGAAAACCGATTGCTCGTTGCTGGAGATAGAGCTTATTTTTTCATCACACTCCTTCGTTTTCTTGCAAAAGCAAAGCAAATTCTGGATTGTGGCGGCTGTCAATATGTTGGAGTTGATAGTCTGCTACAACATTTTAGTTTTAATTTTGTTTCTGGCAAATCCTCACCATAAAAAATAAATAAAATAAAATAAATATATTTCACGGTTCGCGTGAGACTCGGCTGGAAGACGAGTTTTCCGCATCCGTCCGTAGGAACGCTACCACCCTCTAGGATCAAGGCGCAGATGCAGTGCCTACTGTAAGACATGTATATATAACGAGGAAGCAAATCTAACGTTTTAACGGATGACATTTCTTCGTTATAATAGATCCATTGAGGCCGTACTGCTTCATATATGCTGTGTGTGTATATGGCAGAATACTGCAAGATTGTTAACATATCTTCTCGTTAACCTATGAATTTTGGACAATCGTTAAATGTGCGACTCGTTATAATAACATGTCTTACAGTAAACGGTGGGATGTCCTCACCATACTACAGTATATTGTTTTCCATTCTCTAAATCCGATGATAGAATACCATAAATACTATAGTGTCTTGTCAAGGGCGTCGCACAATGCTAAAAATTGGTGCGACCGAATGGAGGCATGAAGAAAGAGGGGCCCGGGGGACACTTCCACAGGGAAACGTTTTCACTTTTTGGCTCATGAGAGCTGTTTGAGGACATCACAATTACTTTAGGACAGTTTCCACATTGGATATAAACACCTCCCAGGAATGTTTATTTTTATTTTTGGCTCACGACGGCCCTCTGTGGGATCACAACCACATAAGGATAGTTTGCACAATGGATATCTGTGTGTACATACAAGTGCATGATGCTACGAAAATTGTATTGTTTATTTTGAATGAATTTGGCAGACCACGTCGAACGAATAGTGGTATGACCATGTTCGCACCTGTCCAACCATGTGTGACACTCCTGGTCTTGTCCTGTGTGTTCTTGAGTGTCAGGGCGCGGAATTGGCATCGATTCATTCCAAATGTTCACGCTTGTTTGGGATGTAAGATAAAGAAAATGAAAACAACCCTGTGTCGTGGTGTATGCTCTCCCCTGCACAGTCCCCTGCACAGTTCTTCTGGCCTCACCTATGATGCAACTGTATGCATTCTTGTTCAAACAAATTTCGAAATTGTTTCAACTAGCTCTGCCTTTCGGTACAGAGCACTCCATTGGACAGCCTGGAACCTCTCCGTTTTACTTTCTTGATCATAATAACCTTTGTAACCATGCCCTTTCTTCTCCTTCTGATTCCTGCCGCAGTTTGTTCCTAACGCGGTGTTAGTCGGAATACACTTTATCCTTGCCGCCTTCGGCGTGGTCATCATGATACTGTCTGGAATCAATGAGGGAGGCCCGAAATGGTTTGTCTTCCTCACCAACTGGGGCTACACGCATATTGTTCTCAGCTTCATCGGATTCACAGCCCTGGGAATCCGGCAGCTACGGCTGCGCAAGAGCCTGATCAGTCAGAAACAGAGCGCGGTAGAGGTGGACATGGCTCTGGCCGAATGGCACTGGTACCATAGCATGTTGCAGGTCATCTATACCAATGCCCTGGACCTGAGCATAATGATCACGATCCTCTACTGGACGCTGCTGAAGCCGAAGGGCACGTTCCTGGACATCTGCGTGCATGCCCTGAACGCCGTCATGACTCTCCTGCAGCTGTTCCTGTGCAACGTCAAGCTGAACCTGCTGCACTTTGTATACCCGATGACCTGTGCGGCGGTCTATCTCATCTTCTCGGCTGTCTACACCGTCCTGGGGGGTAGGAACACCGAAGGAGAGCCGTTCATCTACAGCACTCTGGACTGGAACAATAAGCCGACCAGCGCAGCCCTCCTTTCCGCAGGTGCCTGCTTCTTGGGCGTGCCCGCCATGCACGGCTTGGCGTACGGCATCATGAGGGCACGGGTAGCAATCGCACGCCGTAGCTACGGCCCTGCTACGGCCAGTCCTGAGTCACACGCAATGGACAATGTCGTCTGACATGCTAGGGCGTACACGGTACCGCCGACGCTGTGCTCTGTGGTCATGTGACCATGCTAGGCCGTCCAGCACCAATGCAGGTCTGTGCTCACATACACTGGGCAGTCACGTCTGCAAGTTGCGCAATGTCTCGCAACATTGCACGACCACAAATATCAATATCTCCGTATTTGGAAAACTGTTTAATTTGGTAGCTGGTGATTCTACTAGCTGTGGTGATTGAGCCAGGCTACTGCCAGTGCACATGAAGCAGCCAAAGTAGACAAGTCATACACGACATGTATCCATGCAGTATACTTACATTTGATTTTTTATCGCAGTAGGACGGAAGCGATATTGTGTTTCCAAATTCAGAAGATACAGATGCTGTAATCCATGCTCTAGCCTACTTTTTTTACTGAATTTTTTTAAAATCTTTCCCTAGCATTTTACTTATTGTCTGTAAACTCAAACATACATGTAAGCACATAACTTAGCACATTATATCTGTGTAGACATTACATTTGGTATTACTATCAGTACTATTAGTAGAGATCAAGTAACCATAGCGACGGGTTTAACTCTCGCTGCTCGGGTTTTGGAACGTAACAATGTCTTTGCTGCGCACAGACTGAACAGTTACCATGGTTACACACGCTGCTTTCTGACATGTTGTACACCAGATGGTGCTTTTTACTTCAGTGTGCAACGGCATGTTCAATTTTTAAAATTTTTTAAATATATTATTAATTCATATGACTGTACAATGTACATGTATGCTCTCAAGATGGCTGCAGTCAATACCGGATCGAGAAACATGCGTTCACATGCAGGTGATAGCGTCTATGGTGTCTATTTATGAACTACATGCAATAGAGAATATGACGGCTGCAGGAGTAGCCAAAGCTGTATCAATAGTTCTATTATTGGGGTGTTTGAAGTACATGGTCTTGAAGCAGCCATCCACACAATGCGTACCACCTTTGAAATCCCTGATTCTGACGGTGTTCCCCTAGCCGATGGGTCTAAGTGCTTTTAACAGCCTAAATCGAGAGGTCCGTCTCCAGAACATCCGCCACCTTCGCCTGTTACTTGCACCTCTTGTTGTGAATACCTACCGTTGCCCAGCAAACCTGTTTGTTGGAGGCGAGACCATCCTGAGCCGCGAAGGGACGACGCAAGGTGACCCCATTGCCATGGCAACGTACGCCATAGGTATAGTCCCGCTCACCAAGGCCGTCTCAACGGCAGTAGCAGTCCAGGCCTGGTTTGCGGACAATGCTGGGTCCGGCGGCAAGCTTGCACTTTTGCTGTCTTGGTGGAATAATGAATTTATTTGCTTTGCCTTGACTCAAGGTTTGGCTACTACCTCAACGCATTGAAGTCCGTACTCGTTGTGAAGCCCCGGCACTACGCTACAGCCTGTGAGATGTTTGCAGGTACCGGGGTCAAGGTCAGGCCAGACGGAGTGAGGTATCTTGGAGCTGCTATTGGCTCACCTGAATTCGTCAGCACTCACGTCACAGAGAAGGTGGAGTCCTGGGTGGATCAAGTTAAAAGACGGAGCGTCATCGCCGTTATCCAGCCGCTATTGTCATACGCAGCTCTTGTTTGTGGTCTCCATGGGAAATGGACACTTCTCGAACCATGCCAGATATCGCACAGCACCTGGTGCCATTGGACGATGCCATCACCAACGAGTTCATTCCGGCTCTCCTGTAGCGACCGGTTAATGAAGTGGAGGGCGAAGTGACCTCCTCGCCATGCCGTCGTGGTGGTCTCAGCCTCACTGCCCCGTCCTTCATTGCCTCACAGTATGGGTCCTTTGTCAGCTTGTCCTAAGCTATCATCCACCGCATCCTGAGGCAAGACTGGCTTGGCAATGCTATCGCGCAGATCTATCAAGTCGAGAGTCGCGTCAGATCCATTGGACAGGCTTGGTAATGCTATTGTGCAGATCTATCAAGTCGAGAGTCGCGTCAGATCCATTGCCCAAGGTGCCACCAGGGCTCGTGTCCTTGCTTTCTCTGTCTGTTGGGCCGGATCTTCAGCGGTCCGTTCAGCTATCTTCTGAGAAAGGCTCATCTAACGACTAACCTGCCTACCTCTCCGTCTTCATGTCTTCACTCTCACCCAGGCAGGGTGAGTTCCCCGATGCCATCTGCCTACGCTATGGTTGCCTCCCACAACGGCTGCCATCGTTCTGCCAGTGCGGAAGCACTTTCACTGTGCAACATGCTGTGTCGTGCCCCATTGGAGGATTTCCCACCATCAGGCACAACGAGGTAAGCGACATTACCGCTAGGCTGCTCAAGCAAGCAGCCTAACAAGTGTCTATTGAACCTCATCTGCAACCCCTGTCAGGTGCGCACCTCCAGTATCGCACAGCCACCGCGGATAACCACTGGCTCGGCTTGACGTGGCAGCGAGCGGCATCTGGGGAGGGCGATTCGAACGCACCGTTAGTGGTGTACGGGTGTTTAACCCGTATGCGTCTTGGAATCGGTCCAAACCGCTGCCTGCTATGTGAAGCACAAGAAGGTGAAGAAGCGGGAGTTCGAGCAACGCATCCAGCACGTCGAGCATGCTTCTTTTGTCCCTGCTGTGTTCTCCACAAGCGGAGGAATGAGCAAATGTGCCTCTACCCTGTACAAGCGCATTGCTTGCCTACTCTCTGCCAAGTCCACTGAACGTTACAGCGCCGTCATCGCGCATATCCGCTGCCGTCAAAGCTTTGCTTTGCTGAGATCCTGTGTTTGGATAGAGCAAGGAGCACTTTCTCTCCTGCAGCACCTGCTGTTTCCGCTCAGCTAGTGGTTGCGAAGCAGGTGTTCTTGCTCACTTGCTACACTTTGTGATTTTTCTGTCTTCCTGCCATTTACATTATTCCCTTTCCTCCTTTGCTTCCTTCCGTATCGCAATTTATTGTGCGAAATAGTAAATCCCAGGTTTAGGGATGCACACTGTCTGTAGACGACCAGTCGACCGGTACCTGGGTACGTGGTTCATGCTACTCGATGATGATCTACAGCTAGCCGCACAGAACCGAGGTCGGCGAGGAGCCTCGTTGGCGTTGCACAGTCATAGTATACTCAAAGTCATACTGTCAGACTCATAATCACAAAAATAATTTTATAAAAATAATTATTTAAATTAAAACAGCAACCGTGAAAGCTGATCACCATGTTAACATGTTCACGAATCGATCACCTTGGCGCTAGTCGCCGTAGCCGGAGAGACTCTGAGTCTGAATCCCGCTGGTACTGCTACTGACATACGTATCAAGAGTCCATAAACCTATGGACTCTTGTACGTATGCATGACTTGTATACACCATAATCGCTATAGCGCTAGCCTATTGAGCGCTAACCGCTGAGAGTGTCACTGTCGAAAAAAACAAAATTTTGTACTGCAAATTGTGCAATGGTAGTTTTACATTGACAATGACAATGACTCAGTCTTTGACTTTGAGATGAATAATAATCATGTCAGTGAGGTAGACATTGTGTAAAACAAACAACTATTAGTATTACTTGTAGTGTCCCCGGCCCCGTCGCTTACAATAGTTACAATAATCATTGCCGGTGTGCCGTGGAGCAGACACTGTCGGTAAACGCATCGTGGCGGGTGTAGCGAATTCAAAAATTACATTTTGATGGCCGTTGCAAGTTGATAAAGAATGTCTGCTTGCACCATTAGAACTTTATTTGTGGCGATGTGTCGCATGCGCAGTTGCATGTACGCGAGTCAGTAGTTGAACTAGAATGTTGTCTATCGACGATTGAATGAAGAAATTTGATGTTTGAACTACAGCATACAGTTGTGCAGAATTTCTGGTTTTCAATGATACAACCGGCGTCAGGCCAATGGGTCATATCTGCTAGTGTACATGACGTGTATAGCACCGGTATCATTGCAGAAGTACTAGCGGAGTGAGATATGGATGGAATGAGAAGGCGTCCACGCGGAGCAGAGGTACGTGATAGTACGAGTGCATGTAATAATTATTAGAATTACGTTTTGATGGGATCGCTGCTAGCTTGGACAATAATATTACTGATGTAAATTAAATCATCAATTAAATAATCGACGAGGAGACAATAGTCGTAAAATGGCAATAAATAAGATAAATTGTGCACTCATAACAACAGCAAAAATGAAGAAAGTCAAGTTCCATAACGTTTTCTTGTGACTGTCATCAGTGGAACGCAGTCACATAAAAATGTAATAACTAAAACACACACTTATATACATGTAGCTAATATGGTTTCAGGTAGAAATACAGCAGCTAACAAGTACAAAAAGCGAAGTTTGCACCTTTGCAATGTGTGAATATAGTGTATGTTAGAAAGGTAGTGGCAGATGAATGTGATACTGTGTGAATGAATGTAATGGTGCGTGTGTATTATTTGAACCTGGTTTAGTGTTATTCGTTGCGCACGTTTCTTCAAGCAACTGCAGGTGTTGGAAGCTGTGTATATTCGTACTCGTGACCCTGTGCTATGTAAACAGAAAGAAAACGTTGTATCACTCACACTCTTCAAATAATACACACGCACCATTACATTCATTCACACAGTATCACATTCATCTGCCACTACCTTTCTAACATACACTATATTCACACATTGCAAAGGTGCAAACTTCGCTTTTTGTACTTGTTAGCTGCTGTATTTCTACCTGAAACCATATTAGCTACATGTATATAAGTGTGTGTTTTAGTTATTACATTTTTATGTGACGGCGTTCCACTGATGACAGTCACAAGAAAACGTTATGGAACTTGACTTTCTTCATTTTTGCTGTTGTTATGAGTGCACAATTTATCTTATTTATTGCCATTTTACATCAATTAAATTTTAATTATTTCATTAGGGGTAGGGGAGGGGGCTTTGAAGACCTTGTAACAGAGTCACAGTATGCTGCACGAAGCATCATCGAGTAGCTGATGTACGGATGGTCGATACTGTACTCTCGTCAGTCGTACGCGGTGTTGAACGTGTATTGCGTATCCTAGTCTAGAACAGAACAACAAGGACCGGCAATCAAGGCTTGTTTGCTGCGACTTGAAGTTTCATGCTCTCGCAATCATCAGGCAACACTACCCTAGTCTATTCACATGCATCTCTTACGCCCCATTCCGTATTGTACGTCGATTGGCCTACACTACTAGCGGGCGTCGGAGAATGGCGAACGGAGCGCCGAAGAAAGAACAGGCTAGAATTTCTCCAAGCACAGCATAGCAATGTATACATGGTGACTCGACTATGCATAGACTGTAGTACATGATTAGAGAAAATGGTCTAGGCTACGAAGCTATCACTCCCCCCACCACCACCACCACCACCACCACCACCACCACCACCACCACCACCACCACCACCACCACCACCACCACCACCACCACCACCACCACCACCACCACCACCACCACCACCACCACCACCACCACCACCACCACCACCACCACCACCACCACCACCACCACCACCACCACCACCACAGTTCTTCAGCAACCAACAGTACTGTAATTGTGTGTGTAAATACACAATGTTCAACTACACAATGTTCAACTACACAATGTTCAACTACACAATGTTCAACTACACAATGTTCAACTACACAATGTTCAACTACACAATGTTCAACTACACAATGTTCAACTACACAATGTTCAACTACACAATGTTCAACTACACAATGTTCAACTACACAATGTTCAACTACACAATGTTCAACTACACAATGTTCAACTACACAATGTTCAACTACACAATGTTCAACTACACAATGTTCAACTACACAATGTTCAACTACACAATGTTCAACTACACAATGTTCAACTACACAATGTTCAACTACACAATGTTCAACTACACAATGTTCAACTACACAATGTTCAACTACACAATGTTCAACTACACAATGTTCAACTACACAATGTTCAACTACACAATGTTCAACTACACAATGTTCAACTACACAATGTTCAACTACACAATGTTCAACTACACAATGTTCAACTACACAATGTTCAACTACACAATGTTCAACTACACAATGTTCAACTACACAATGTTCAACTACACAATGTTCAACTACACAATGTTCAACTACACAATGTTCAACTACACAATGTTCAACTACACAATGTTCAACTACACAATGTTCAACTACACAATGTTCAACTACACAATGTTCAACTACACAATGTTCAACTACACAATGTTCAACTACACAATGTTCAACTACACAATGTTCAACTACACAATGTTCAACTACACAATGTTCAACTACACAATGTTCAACTACACAATGTTCAACTACACAATGTTCAACTACACAATGTTCAACTACACAATGTTCAACTACACAATGTTCAACTACACAATGTTCAACTACACAATGTTCAACTACACAATGTTCAACTACACAATGTTCAACTACACAATGTTCAACTACACAATGTTCAACTACACAATGTTCAACTACACAATGTTCAACTACACAATGTTCAACTACACAATGTTCAACTACACAATGTTCAACTACACAATGTTCAACTACACAATGTTCAACTACACAATGTTCAACTACACAATGTTCAACTACACAATGTTCAACTACACAATGTTCAACTACACAATGTTCAACTACACAATGTTCAACTACACAATGTTCAACTACACAATGTTCAACTACACAATGTTCAACTACACAATGTTCAACTACACAATGTTCAACTACACAATGTTCAACTACACAATGTTCAACTACACAATGTTCAACTACACAATGTTCAACTACACAATGTTCAACTACACAATGTTCAACTACACAATGTTCAACTACACAATGTTCAACTACACAATGTTCAACTACACAATGTTCAACTACACAATGTTCAACTACACAATGTTCAACTACACAATGTTCAACTACACAATGTTCAACTACACAATGTTCAACTACACAATGTTCAACTACACAATGTTCAACTACACAATGTTCAACTACACAATGTTCAACTACACAATGTTCAACTACACAATGTTCAACTACACAATGTTCAACTACACAATGTTCAACTACACAATGTTCAACTACACAATGTTCAACTACACAATGTTCAACTACACAATGTTCAACTACACAATGTTCAACTACACAATGTTCAACTACACAATGTTCAACTACACAATGTTCAACTACACAATGTTCAACTACACAATGTTCAACTACACAATGTTCAACTACACAATGTTCAACTACACAATGTTCAACTACACAATGTTCAACTACACAATGTTCAACTACACAATGTTCAACTACACAATGTTCAACTACACAATGTTCAAATACACAATGTTCAACTACACAATGTTCAACTACACAATGTTCAACTACACAATGTTCAACTACACAATGTTCAACTACACAATGTTCAACTACACAATGTTCAACTACACAATGTTCAACTACACAATGTTCAACTACACAAGGCAGAACAACAGAGACGAAAAGCTTTCTCGCAACTCTGAGTTTCGTGTTCAAAAACACTCATCAGACGTGTTTTTTAACACGAAACTCAGAGTTACGATAAAGATTTGTATTGTATTGTATTTATTTAACCTCTTTAGCACGACGCTACCTGAGCGCGCCCCACGTCAACACCTGTAAAAGTCGCATTTTCCCATGAAAGTACTAGCTGCTCAAGGATCGATAACTTTACCTTCCCTTGGACGAATTCCACGATCTTGAGCTTCCTGGAAAGGTCGTGAGACGAGGGACAAACTGGTATCAAACCCAGCTCGGAGCGAAACCAAAACCCCGTGCTACAGTCTGGCAAACTTCATCCACGCGCTCGACAGACTTGAGCACGGCCAAAACTAACCAAGCTCAAATATTCAGCTGCCATTTCGGTCTCCTTGCTTGTATCGAGCTCAAATTTTTTGTGAGGACTCACGGGATCCACTACCATCATTTGAATCTTGTTTCCATGGCAGCAGGTAGCGCAAAAAGGATCCATGATGGAAAATACGCGTTCTGCAGACTGCGCAAAAAAATCGAGTTGAAATTTGCCGTGTCGAGTCGCATATCTCAACAACCGGTAGTCGCATCGCTTCGGCGATTGTTTCTATCGCCAGCTGAGAGTTTTCTCTTGCAGATACATGTTTCGATTGTGAGAATCGACCAAGTATTGAGTGAGTTGCGATAGTTTGAACAAGTCACTATGGACTCAACACGGACCCCACGACTATGAGATGCAGGTTCACTGTACAGTGTACAGCGCGCGTCGTACTAGTACGACGGCCGTGGGGCATGCAACTCATGTGCGTCGTACTAGTACGACGCTCGCGCTAAAGAGGTTAAAAGGATTCTCCAAAAGCAAATGGATGCTTATCACGGAAGTCTCCTACATAAATATCGCAAGAAAAATGGGGAAATGGGGGAGAGGAGAGTGGAAGATGAAGCATGGGAAGAAGGGAAACAAGTACCTAAATATCGAGGTATAAGAGCAGGAAAGAAATCAACGAGGGAAGAAATCACCTCTGCAGTTAATAGCGGGACATTTAGGTGAAAAAACCCCCAGCAAGGATTAATTTCAAGGAAAACAAAATTCTCAAACGGAAAAGTTCGGAATTCCAGTCAGAGAATATCTATGCTGTGAGTAATGAGCCTTTAGAGCAATGCGAAAACTGACAGAGGACTGAACGCAGCGAATGTGTTCTGGAAGTTTGTTCCATTCCACAGATAATCTGAAGAGAGGGGATGTTAAGGAAATGGGCGCCAGAACGAGGTAAAACTATAGAGGACGGGTGACGACAACTAAGAGATACATTGAATTTGAAACGAATTAGCAAAGACGGAAACTGGTAAAAGACATGATGAAAATACAGCAAGGACAGAATCTGACGACGCCACTTCAGGGATGACCAGTCACAAGTACGATTAAGAATCTGCTTCGGGGTTTCCCACTCAGGAGGGTGCCGGGTCTTACAAAGCAGATATGAACGAGCAGTTTTTGTGGTCTCTGTTGTTCTCCCTTGTGTAGTACGCTCTGCCCCTGTTTAGGGTGTTGAGCGCTATTTGCAGGAAGGAATTCACTTTGTCAATATGCAAAACTGTATGTATTGTGCAGACTGTATGGTTTGTGTAGCTACCCATAGCTCAGTGCTTAGAGCATCGCTGGCCTTGAGCGAAGGTCCCTGGTTCCAGTCCTGGTGGTGACAGCCATTTTGTCCTTCAGACCTTTCCCGTTTTCATCTTTTCCCTCAAACCAATGAGTAGTGGTATGGATTGTTGTGTGTGACTTTGCATGCAGGACGGTGAGAGCGAGACCACCAGGGATGGTACTCTCTCAATACGTCATGATGTCATTGATGATGTCACTGATAGCCCAGTCAGTGATGTCCTGCCAGCCACGATGCCTTCTTCTGTAGCCATGACAGCAACAACGGGGGGAAGTCCCGAGCTGCAGAGTTTGACAAAGGTGCACAGCAATCTGAGACAGTTCCTGGACGCATCACAGGCTGAGCACAGCGCTATGAATGCAATTGTGAGTCTTTGTGCCCGCACAACACAATACACAACAAAAGAGTTGCATAACCAGTGGCTGGCAATGGCTACGCACAAAGACACGTGCTTTCCAACTCTCTTACGGCCGTTGGAAAGCGTAACGTCGTAATTGTAAAGTCCAATCACATGCCACCGTAGTCCTTCCCTAGTCTGTTCACCACACTCTCATACTTCTACATGCCACCGTCCCTAGTCTGTTCAACACACTCTCATACTTCTACATGCCACCGTCCCTAGTCTGTTCAACACACTCTCATACTTCTACATGCCACCGTCCCTAGTCTGTTCAACACACTCTCATACTTCTACATGCCACTGTCCCTAGTCTGTTCAACACACTCTCATACTTCTACATGCCACCGTCCCTAGTCTGTTCACCACACTCTCATGCCTCTACATGCCCTACACCCAAGTAATGATAGTGAATAGGCGAATCAACACCAAACAACACACATGCATGCACGGGCGGGCACATACGCACACGTGCACGCCCCCCCCCCCCCCACGCCACGACCATGAAGAGATGCATACGCGTTTACACACACCATGCCAGGAAGAGCACATTTTTCTGGATGGAAGTTTCCTTTCAAGGAATTAGGAACGAAAACCAGAAGTCCACGCTCGGTTCATTATACACTGTACTACAATGTACATAGATACCGTATTGCCCTGAGTACTAGTGTAGCATGGTTACTTTATGACACGTAATTTGTATACACATAAATAGTACACCGTAGGAATGCATGGATAGCTGTGCGCATACTCGCACTGCCTTGTCTTCTTCTTCTCCTTGTGAGACAATGAACGAATATTGATAACTACTTACGTAACAACAAGTATGTGCTTTGAGTGCTGAGAGTACACGGTTACATAAGCCACGCTTTCAACACCAGTATTAAATTCACCCAAAGAAAGTCAGTGCGGCTTTTACTACTATGGTCCAATTAATGATGATACGTAGAGTAGGGTAGATGTGTGTATCTCGTGACAAGTATTCTGGGTGTCACTGCGGCTTATACTGCGGAATATACGGTAGTTTGTTGGAAAGGAATTGAGCATGACGATTGTTGCATTCGTGACTCTGTGGTGAATCATGGGTTGTGTATGTGTGTGTTACGGCCCAAGGCAGTACAGTACAGTACAGTACAGCACGGTGTAGGTTACCATGGGATGTGTTTTGATCTTTTATGTATGTTACAGGCCAGTACGGCGCTGCCCAGTAGATTGTCTCTATCTCCTATATCACCACCAACCGACCAGAGCAAACCATCACACTTCATGCTGTCGGAAACGGAAACGGGTAGGTGTTCCCTGTGGCAAGACTGTGTGTTCGTTGGTGTGTGTGTGTGTGTGTGTGTGTGTTTGTGTGTGTGTGTTTGTGTGTGTTTGTGTGTGTGTGTGCGTGCGTGAGTGTGCGTGTGTGTATGTGTATGTGCGCCGCCGTCTGTCAGTGTTCCACAGCCGCTGTGCTCGGTTTATCCTGGACGTCGGCAAGTCAGAACAATGGAATGAGCATCTCTCCAATGCCGTCATCTTGGAGCCGGCTGGTTTGCGATCAGTGGTGGAGATGCTGAGGACGCGCCGTCTTCGCTGGTTGGGGCATGTCGAACGCATGTCGGACGACAGAATACCGAAGTGCGTATTGTTTGGTGAGCTCCAGAAGACGCGCCCTCGCCACGGGCCACGCAAGCGTTGGCGTGACAACATCGTGATTGACCTAGAGGAACGCCACATCAATGACTGGTACAGCCTAGCCGAGGACCGTCGTGCGTGGAGACTGGCCTGCAACACCATCCAGCCGCCTAAACCTGTCTCGGGATTTCAGGTGCCACTGCGGCCGAGATTTTCGCCGTCGCCAGGACCTCACTCGCCACTCGAAGTTCTGTTCCGCGTGACTGAAACACTGTCGGTCCTTTCAGGACCTGCCATCATCTTCGGATGGGCATTATTGTATTGTATTGTATTGTGTGTGCGTGTGTGTGTGAGTGTGTGTGTGTGTGCGTGTGTGTGTGTGTGTGTGGGTGTGTAAAAGACCAAAAAGTAGGGATTCACTGGCCAGAAAAGCCACTTCATAGCTGTGTGGTGTAGACCAGGCTGAATAGTGGCGGTCAATTCTTCGGCCTTGCAAGCTGTTGAATGGTGCAATCCCAGCACAAGCTGCTATGGCTTCTGCTGTAGCATCGCTATCATCGCCTCTGGCGATGGGCGTCCAATGGTCCAATGGTGTGTGTGTGTGTGTGTGTGTGTGTGTGTGTGTGTGTGTGTGTGTGTGTGCAGGTGTGCAGGTGTGTGTGTGTGTGTGTGTGTGTGTGTGTGTGTGTGTGTGTGTGTGTGTGTGTGTGTGTGTGTGTGTGTGTGTGTGTGTCACAGCGATCACAGCCTCAGAGTAAGCATTATGTATTCATTTTCTTGTCATTCTTGTTGTTGTTGTTGTTGCCGTCGTCGTTGTTGCTGTATAGAGGCCAGTGTGGATGGTGACTTGAGCGATGGTGATGAGTGTGTACGCGCATTGCAGAAACGCACAGAGCAATTGCTACTGCATTTGCACCAGTCTCAACCGTTTGATCCGACGGCATCGAGAGTATCACCATCTGCCGTTGCTGCTGGAAGAGCAGCTGATGCTGTGGCCATGTCTTCCACTGCTAGAGCTACTGGCATTGACTCCCAGCCATTGCAGTCAACGCAGGATCTATCGGCGAACAACGGTATGTGTGTGCTGTCCGGACCTTGGTATGTGTGTGCTATCCGGACCTTGACTTGCTAGGAGAGAGTTTACCTACTCCTTTGCAGGCAGTCAGGTGTTTCGCTTGATATTGGACCTACGCATACATACACAGATAGACAGAACAGAACAACAAGGACAATCAAGGCTTGTTTGCTGCGACTTGAAGTTTCATGCTCTCGCACTCATCAGACAACACATAGACACATATCTGCATAAACCATACATGCCACATACCTGCCACGTGGCCGTCTCCTCAACTGCTAGAGCTACTGGCATTGACTCCCAGCCACTGCAGTCAACACATGACCTATCGGCGAGCAACACTACACATGGTATGTGTGTGCCATCCGCACCTTGAATTACCAGAAAAGAGTTTACACACCGCATTGTGCGGAGTATAAGCCGCACCCCCATTTTTTTGCCACGAAACACGGACATCTATCCTATTAATTTATCACCGTTGATTTGATCATCGGAGTATGAGCCGCACTCCCCCTTTTTGGGGTGAATTTTGAGTGTTCGAAGTGCGCACGGTACGCATTTGCAGACAGTCAGGTGTTCGGTTTGATATTGGACCTACACATACATACACACACTGGAGGATGTGCCCAGTGTGCTGACAGTGCTCAACACCATGGCGGAGGCAGGGTGTACCCAGTGTGCTGACAGTGCTCAACACCATGGCGGAGGCAGTGTGTACCCAGTGTGCTGACAGTGCTCAACACCATGGCGGAGGCAGGGTGTACCCAGTGTGCTGACAGTGCTCAACACCATGGCGGAGGCAGGGTGTACCCAGTGTGCTGACAGCGCTCAACACCATGGCGGAGGCAGAGCGTAATACAGAACAGATCAACAAGGACAATCAAGGCTAGTTAGTCGCTACTCTGAGTTTGATGCTTACGCAATCATCAGGCAACGTACACATACATACATACACAAACACACATACATACAAACACACACAAAGACACATACATACATACATACTCAATCTGCGGACAGCATGCTGTTTCGTTCTTTTTGAACTCATCAGCGCAGCACAGAGAAAATGAGGCCGAACCTGATAGCAATGAAAATAAAAATTTCCAATCAGGCCCGAACGTACCTTGCCAGAGTGCTCAAACTGACAATTCAGTGAGCTCTGCATAACGCAAACAGCAAAGGCACTACCCCACGCAAGAGTGCTCAACTGCTACAAGAGCAGGAGCGAAATACTCAATCTGCGGACAGCATGCTGTTTCGTTCTTTTTGAACTCATCAGCGCAGCACAGAGAAAATGAGGCCGAACCTGATAGCAATGAAAATAAAAAATTCCAATCAGGCCCGAACGTACCTTGCCAGAGTGCTCAAACTGACAAGTCAGTGAGCTCTGCATAACGCAAACAGCAAAGGCACTACCCCACGCAAGAGTGCTCAACTGCTACAAGAGCAGGAGCGAAATACTCAATCTGCGGACAGCATGCTGTACATACATACATACACACACAAATACATAATTATCTACACAAGCTATACATGCCGCGACACTCGGCTATTGTGAGCTTGCGCATACACATCTACAGAGGTATCAACAGCAAGAGCGGTATATGATGCACACTAATCTGTGATGCATGATGTTCGCATGGCAACTGTTATCTTGGGATGACAGGGTCATCTGCATATGCTCTTGTTTACCCTATGCACCCAGTTGTAGTAGCGGTCTCTGCGTATGCAATCGTGTGTGTGTGTGTGTACGAACGCGTGTACGAACGTGTGGACGGACACGCCTTTTTTGTATACTCGGTTCTCTTTTGTCCGTGCGTACGTTCGTGTATGTTTGTACACGTGACATGTGTCTGTGCTTGCATTCTTGGTTTTATGTGTTTATGCGTGTGTGTGTGTGTGTGTGTGTGTGTGTGTATGTGTTTATGTGTGTGTGTGCGCGTGTGTGTGTGTGTGTGTGTGTGTGTGTGTATGCATGTGTGTGTGTGTGTGTATGTGTGTGCACGTGTGCGCGCGCGCGCGTGTGTGTGTGTGTGTGTGTGTGTGCGTGTGTCTGTGCGTGTTTCCTTTGTAGAACACCATGTAAACAGCAATGGAACTGCCACCTACTCTACCCTACTCGCGTCATCATTGCGTGTTACACCGGTAGCTGGCCACTCAGCAAGTCTTGCTAGCAAAGTAATATCACCACCAGCAGCAGCCGCAGCAGCAGCAGCAGCATCAGCAGATGCCTCTCTAACCGCCGAGAACTCCTTACTGAGGCAGAGTGTGGAGCGGGAACGTCTTAGAAGAAAGGTACTGAAAGTCGCCCCGTACGCGGCGAGATGTTGTTCTAATGAAGGCTGTGTGTATAGGATGTTGTTCTAATGAAGGCTGTGTGTATAGGATGTTGTTCTAATGAAGGCTGTGTGTATAGGATGTTGTTCTAACGAAGGCTGTGTGTGTAGGATGTTGTTGTTACGAAGGCTGTGTGTATAGGATGTTGTTCTAACAAAGGTTGTGTGTATAGGATGTTGTTCTAACGAAGGTTGTGTGTATAGGATGTTGTTCTAACGAAGGCTGTGTGTATAGGGCGTTGTTGTAACGAAGGTTGTGTGTATAGGATGTTGTTCTAACGAAGGTTGTGTGTATAGGATTTTGTTGTATCGAAGGCTGTGTGTATAGGATGTTGTTGTAACGAAGGCTGTGTGTATAGGATGTTGTTGTAACGAAGGCTGTGTGTATAGGATGTTGTTCTAACGAAAGCTGTGTCTATACGTTTGTTGTTCTAATGAAAGCTGTGTCTATACGTTTGTTGTTCTAACGAAAGCTGTGTGTATGCGTTTGCTGTCCGTGTGTGTATATGTGACCTCTTTGAGGTCCCCTTTTGGCGCTGCGTCCATACGGACCGCGCGGACTGCGCAGGTTGTACCACTGCACGCATACCCCGTCTTATTGTACTGTATCCATTCTTGTCCTTCTTGTTGCTTTTCCTGAAACTCTCCTTGGAGCTAAGTCAAACGCGTTCTGTTCTGAGGTGTGTGATATTTGTGTGAACGTGGAAGTTGGAGAAGCCCTACTGTCGGGACTAAATACTCCGATGACATGCGTATGTAATGTAAAATAGACACGGAAATTGACAAGCATGTTCTTCTCGTGGTTTAGGTACTATTTTGTCACCTTGTTGCGGCCAATTTCCCTTGCATGCATTATCACATGTGTGCTTGTGCGTGTGTGTGTGTCTCTGTCTTTCCGCTGTGTGCGTGCGTGTGTGCCTATATGTGTATGTGTGTGTGCGTGTGTGATAGACCTGTGAGAAGAAGATTCACGGCCTCCATGAGAAGGTAAGCCCCCGGGAAAACACTATTGGAAAAGCTTTTTCGTGCCGAGCTGACAGCTGACCGTGATCAGCTGTGAATTCTGAACTTCTGTGATTGCCTTCTTGGGGCCAACAGCCACTGGAAAAGAAGTACAATGCTGTCTTTGTCTATTCACTGGTCTGTGTCGGTGCAATGCTGCGTTGTCTGTGTGGCGTTGTAGCTGGTAGACTTTGTTTTATTGTTTCTGCTTAAATTTCCATAATTATTGTCTTGGCTGACTGACCTTTGTGTATGAGTTTCCGGCGTAGCAGTCAGACCTCCCCTACCGGTCCGCTCTTATCCGGATCCCTCGCCATCCGGAAGAAAACCGTTGGTTACCGATTTACAGCATATGTCATACATACAGTATATGTGTTCGATTATTCCATCGCCTAACCGGGTATTTTTTTGTGGAAAACGGATGTGTGCATTTCAAAGCGAGGTCTGACTGTATCCGATTATGGTTTGTGAATGTTGTGTGCTTGTGCATGTGTCAGTTGCTGGGTACGCAGCAACAGCTTGCAATGGCGTTGGCCCAGCGTCGGAAGCGTGAAAGCATGCTGCAGCAACTAGACAAGGTACTGCTCTTGATCTGCGGCCGAATATTACACTCATATGGCCGTTGCCGTGTTTCCGGACTGTAAACCGCACTTTAAATGGCAGTAATCCACCTAAAAAAGTCGGTGCGGCTTATGATACGATGATACAATTAACATTCTCTTATTGGCCACAGGCCATCGTGAGAATAAAATGGTTCACACTGTGATAAACAGGGTTGATGTCTGTATTTCGTTACAAACGTCTGGGTGCGGCTTACATTCCGGAAAATACGGTACTTATATTTAGTTTCTGGTCTCCACACAACTGCAATGTGAGGAAAGGGAGGCTTGTCAGCTGACAATCATTCTGTTGTTAATACCGTGTGCTGTAAAGACACCACTTTCTTGGATTCCCTTGTCTGGTCTTCTCTCTATGTCATTCGTCATTCACCCAGTTGTCGATTCAAAGTAACTCAAAGTATAATCTCTCGTCCCAAACTGTTGGCTTGTGATTGGCATGGTCGTCAAGGGAATAACAGTTCGTCAAACCCCTGATGACACAACTATGCATGCACACACACACTCACACACGCGCCGATGCCTGCTTGACACTTAACATCACCCGCACGTACATAATCACACAAACCCATTGCAGGTCCTTCCTCGTTATAACGATTCCGGTTGCTACATAAACTCCGTTAGTTAAAAGAAGTACTTTGTCCCTCCTATTCTCTCCTTGATTTGTGTTCTTTCTGCTTGCCCAGAACCTTGTGAAGCTTGCGTCCGGGTGGCAGGAGAGGGAAGGAAAGAGTGCAAAAGTTACTCAGCGCTTGGCAGAGAGACTTGATCAACTCAAAGTGGAGAAAATGCAACAGGCGGAGGTGGGTAGTGTTATAGATTGATCTATTATTAATATTAGTCGTACGATCTACTTTGAAGTACGATCTACGTTCTGCTACGTGTGTCGTTCTACGTGTGTTTCTACGTGTGTCGTTCTACGCTCCTTTGATGCATGCATGACGAAGAGTGACAATGTCTTACCTCATTATGAATCAGTCTTCTTCTGCATTACGTCTGCATGGCTGACGTGTGTCTTACTTTGGTACGAGCTGACGAGGCCTATACTGTCGTGTCATAGCGCCATTAGTGCCACGACAGCACTGACGTGTCTCTGCTGCTTATCTCTCCATGATTGCCATTTTACATGTTCACTTCTAAATTATCCTAGAACAAACCAGATGGTGTTTCCTGCTGTGGTATACGCGAGTTGCATGGAATGAATCTTGCGTGCGTACGTTATAACAGGTAGTAGAAAGGCAAGTCAGCGGAGATGTGTCCATATTTACTGGTTGGACTTGTGATGTGCTCTGTGTGTCCGATATTATCACTGATGCTTAGTTTGGCTGCTGCTGCTGCTGCCTCAGTAGCGGCAGCTTCTGCTCCGTCTTCTTCTGCTGCTCATGCTGCTGTTGCTGCTGCTTCTGCTGCAGCTGCTGTTGCTGCTGCTGTTGCTGCTGCTTCTGCGCTTCTGCTGTTCCTGCTGCAGCTGACGAGTGGCAGCTGCCGCCGCTTTTACTAGTACAGTAAAACCTGTATCTAAAGACCACCTGTATCTAAAGACCACCTGTAACTAAAGACCACCTGTAACTAAAGACCACCTGTATCTAAAGACCACCTGTAACTAAAGACCACCTGTATCTAAAGACCACCTGTAACTAAAGACCACCTGTATCTAAAGACCACCTGTAACTAAAGACCACCTGTATCTAAAGACCACATGTAACTAAAGACCACCTGTATCTGAAGACCACCTGTAACTAAAGACCACCGTGACTAGCCACCAGCCTGGTACTACAGACCACTTCGCCAGGCACGGACGGACCGTCTCACATTCATACAATGTCATGGTTGTGCGGTGCAAACCTCTAACTAAGGACCACCTGCCACTAAAAACCGCTTCCTCTGGCCCCAAGGGGGGGGGGGGGTCGTTAGTCACAGCTTTCACTCTACTCTTTATAGTGCCACTGGTTCTGCCATTGATGTTGCTTACTAGCACAAACACTGGTTCTGCCATTGATGTTGCTTACTAGCACAAACACTGGTTCTGCCATTGATGTTGCTTACTAGCACAAACACTGGTTCTGCCATTGATGTTGCTTACTAGCACAAACACTGGTTCTGCCATTGATGTTGCTTACTAGCACAAACACTGGTTCTGCCATTGATGTTGCTTACTAGCACAAACACTGGTTCTGCCATTGATGTTGCTTACTAGCACAAACACTGGTATTGCTGCAGCGGCTAACTATTGTTGCTTGTCACCACAAACGCTGTTGTTGTGGCCACTTCCAACCATTGCTGCTGCCGTCTGTGTTGTTTACAAGGTGTTGGAGCAAACTCGACTGCAGCTCACACACAACCAGCAATCGTTGCAAGAAGAGAGAAAGAGAGCGGAAACAGCGCGACAGAGTTTAGCGGCAGAGGTGTGTCTTTCGCATTCCTTCCTATTTGGTTTTTCAATTGTTGGGTTTCTAAAGGACTTTTCTTTAATCTCTGAAACTCAACAAGTTCATTACTTAGAATGTTGCAATCTGAAATTCAAAATCCTTTCAATTTCTTTTTCTTCTTCTTCATGTGTCTCTGTATATGGTCCCGCTGACACAGGTGCAACGTTTATCATCCGAACACGCAGCCACAATGCACCAACTGGCAGGTGAGTCTGTCTCCGGTTCCCCCCCCCCCCCAGCCCCCTTCTCCCCTGTGCACCCACCCCCAGTCCCCTTCTCCCCTCTGCACCCAGCCCCTTCTCCCCTGTGCGCCCCCAGCCCTCTTCTCCCCTGTGCCCCTCCCACCCCCCTTCTCCCCTGTGCCCCCCCCACCCCCTTCTCCCCTGTGCCCCCCACCCCCTTCTCCCCTGTGCTCCCACCCCCTTCTCCCCTGTGCCCCCACCCACTTCTCCCCTGTGCTCCCACCCCCTTCTCCCCTGTGCCCCCACCCCTTCTCCCTGCACCCCCCCCACCCCCCTTCTCCCCTGTGCACCCTTGCCCTCTTGGGCCGTACAAAGTACTTCCTACGGAAACAAAAAAAACTCTGTTGTGTCACTTCAATCTCGCCTGTCAGTTCTGTTGAATTGAATTCGAAGGAGCACGAGATGTGAAGTCCAAGTGACACTCGACTGCTGCCAATCGTGTTGTATAAAAGTGTAAAATCAATGAAGTTGGTTGCTCCTGCGTGGAACACACACTTTCTGCCGATCATGTTCCAAATAGGAGCAACCAATTTGATCACTAATACCGCCGAAGTCGCTATTTCTAAATGTGTAAAATTGATGTGTTTTTTTATTAGTGTTTCGTTTTCCCAGCATTCCCATTCTGCACCTTGATCCACAGAGGGTGATCCTAGGGGGTGATCCTAGGGGGTGATCCTAGGGGGTGATCCTAGGGGGTGATCCTAGAGGGTGGTCCTAGAGGGTGGTCCTTGGGGGTGGTGGTGTTCCAGGCTACGGTTGGGGAAAACTCAGCCTCCAGCCAAGTCACACGCGAACTGTGGTTTTTTTTGCTGGACGTTCTGTCGCGGTATGCTCCTTGTCCTGCAGCTGAAAGAGAGCACAGCGCTCAGCTGGATGTGCAGCTGGGGGAAGCGTTGAGCCGTGGCAGTGAACACGAGCAACGACACAGGGAGCTGGAGATGTGGGTCAACGAGGTAAGTACTGAATGTAGACTGCAATGCAATGGAAGTTGCGTAATTACACATGGGGTTTCTGCAGAAAACGTCCAGTCCAGTTAGCCTTGCGAATAGCGCCCCTCAGTCGGAAATGAGAAAAATGCAATATTCTCGTTATTCATGGGGTTGAAAGTTTGCAGTGGACGTGTTACCATGGTTACCAGGTCTGGCGATGGTGTCCTTACTCCCATGCTGTGTTTCTACCCAAGGTTGTTATATGATGACTTATGCCCAAGGTTGTTATATGATGACTTATGTCCAAGGTTCTTATAATGATGACTTATGTCCAAGGTTGTTATGTACTTGGCTTGTTGAGCACTCCTTATCCCCATTTCAATGATTACTGAGTTAGAAATAGGAAACCTTGAGTTGCCTGCATGGAATGTTCTTACTCCCTCCTGTTTGCAGTTCAAGGCAAGGAAAACTGATGAAGAGGGTACAGCGCTGAAGGAAGAAAAGGAACACCATCGTCTACAGGAGGTGAGCGTGTGCGTATTAACGGTTGCAGAGGTCTGGTTTGGGGTGCTGGATATGCTTCCTCAATTCCTGCAGACTCTCTACACCAGCTACACTATACTCAATAGCTCAGTGGGACTTTCCCTTTTCCATTTCCTCAACTAGTAAATATATCTATAAATCTCTCTATTCTTGGTTGATGCACATATGGGCGCTTGGAATCTAGTTTTTAATTTTGATCGTGTGGAAATTGGATTCACACAAGTAACAACAATAGTATATGAGCTAATTCTTGTGTGTGTGTGTGTGTGTGTGTGTATCTGTGTGTGTGTGTGTGTGTGTGTGT